CGTCGAATTCTGAGTTGATTTAGCTTTATCTAAATAACTCAAAAACTAATTGAGCTAAGTTCACCAAATTTTCACAAATGATTTATTATAGTAAGTGCCAGAACCCTATTTAAGTTGGACATGATCGGGGCACTGGTTAAGGTAGCTGCCATACAACTTTAAAATTTATTTAGCTATATCTCAGAAACTATAAAAGCTGTGGTATTGAAATTTCACACAAACGAATATATTAGTAGGGCCAATATGTTTGATAAAAGTCGTTGAAATTGCTTGGTTCTTTTTGGTAGCTGCCATTCAACTTCAATAGTAGTTGGCACACACAGTATTTTGAAAAACACAGTACTGAAATTTTGCATAAATTAATATGGTAATACGGCAACTTAAAGTCATCGTCTGTCCCATAGTCAGTTATGGCATATTGATTTGCACTTATTTTTTATTCATATTTATTATAATTCGTACGGGTATCACAGAGTTGACAAGGTCAACTCTATTTTTTCTCGTTTTATATCTTTTTTTGTTACGAATGTGCAAATACTGTTAAATTAATTTTTTGTAAAATTTCTGTCAAAATTCAATATATTTTTCGTATAAACTTTACACACACATATAAGATGCTGTAGATTTTTCATATTTACAAAACTCAAATTTAAATAATGACTCATACAAATTTTATAATTAATGTTGTTGAATTAATAATGTATGAGTTTGTTTTATTTCAGTTTCATATACTCTTTACATACTTTACATTTAAAAGTATCTACAATGATTTTTTTGAATTCTCATTTGTATGCCAAATTTCTCTGCCCAAATTTCTCTGCCCAAATTTACCTATATAAAAGATAAATATTTGCCAAAATATACACTCATACTATATTATATATTTGTTAATTTAAACATATTAATATTTATAAAATCAAACTGTTAAATGAAAAAATTTAAATTCTTTACATTCTTCTATACGACCATTTAGTTTTATTAACCACTAAATTCTTACTTAAGTATAAATAAAATTTCATAAAAGGAATAATGGAATATAAGGGGGGAACGGAATGGATTGTAGTTGATGAAAATAACTTTAATTTCAGAAAAATTTAAATTAAATTAAATATTAATTAAAATATTAAAATCTTACATTGGATTCTTATAACGCTTTCTTATAACACATAAAAGAGCACATTGAAAAACAATAAATGACGTTGTCAGAATAATGAAAAACAAAAAGTAAAACAGTTTTCAAAAATTATTCACTTTGAATAAAAAATTAAAATATCGAAATCGAAAATAAACTTTCGTACATGTAAAATTGTAAAAATTCAAAGAAAAAACAAAAAAAAAATTTCTTTGGAAAATTTTGGAACATTTTCTTTTTTTTTTTTTTTTATTATCGAACCATTCTGCAATAAAAACAAAAAACAAAATTTTCACTGATTTGAAAATTTCTTTTAAATTTTTTTTTATTTTTTCGAAAGTATTGTTTTTCTTTTATCACTTCGTATTGATTTTATTTCATTTGTTTTCTCTGTTTTTCTTTTCATTTTTAATTTTTTCCAATTTAAATTAATATAACAAATAAAATAAAATTCCCATATTCAAACATTAAAAATGAGTTGGGAAAAAAGAATATATTTTAAATTTTTCATTGTTTTCATTTTAATTTTCCTAAAACTTTAATTCAATTAAGAAATTTTTAACGGGAAATGTTATTACAATTTACAATACCTTGAAATTATTGTAATTTTAGTTGCGCGAGAAATTGTAAACCATTGTTCTGCTTTATTTATTAATTTTTGGTATAACAGGGAGATTTTCAATTAGATAACTTAACGGCGACTTTATTTTTATGAGAGTTAGCATAACAGATTGAATTTGGCAAGAATATATCTCAATTATTTTAATATGTTGATCGGCAAATACAATAAATTATCATATTATATATTTATGAATTATAATTTCCATTTGAAAAGTTACCGTTCTATTATAAACGTTGTTTAAACAAGATTTGAGGTAATCAGTGAGTTACATAACATATACCATCAGTAAGGGCATCAAAAATGAGTAAAATTTTTATTCAGAATACGTGTTATCATTATTGAATTGAAATCTTATCAATTTCCGAAGTACAGGGATCTTAAAGGATTTTCACTAAATTTCTACTTGCCCAAGTTTTTTTGCTTATAACTTCCTTCCGAAAAATATAGAACCTTCAATTAAACAGTTTTTTAAAGGGTTAGTACAGAACTTGAAAGAAACATATTGCTTGATTTTGTAATTTATGTACTTTTGGATACCATACAAGTCGAACTTAAAAAAAAGTAAACTTTTTCCTTCTTATGAATCCTTCGTATGAAATTTTATAAAACTAATTCTAGTTACAGAAAATTCAAGTTATGGAATACGAATAAGAAAAATTTGTGATGCAAAACAAATCAAAAAATTAGGTTAGTTGCAGTTAAGTGTTAGCTAGAAAGAACTCGAGCTACAAGGGTTTGACCGTATTTTCATAGTTTTGCCACTCTAATTTTCAACCATACTACATAAAAGAAGTATTTGTATGTTTTCGAAAACAATTTTTTTACAATTTGTGTAAGTTTAATACTGGAACTATAAATTTTAAAAGAATCTTTTCACCTTAGATCTAATTAAAATAGATAAAAATTGTTTAAATATTTTGAACGAATATACTGCAGTTTGACCTTAATACTTTATTTTTGATATTATATTAGTTAAATAAAAGTTCAAATGTAATAAACAAAAGATTACGTACAGTTTATAAGTTTATATGTAGATATCTGTGTCTATACTTTGAAAACATTTTAAATTATAAAAAGTACTACAATCTTTTTTCATTTTATATATTCTTAGTAGACTTACACATTAAGTAAATTAAATAAAGTTTGGTCAATCCAATGGTTTTTAATGTAGCACTTTTCCCTTCAACAAGTTTCAAAGATTCCATACCTTGAGGATGAACAATGTGTGCAATATTCGAAATAAAACGAAAAAAAATTTAAAGAAGAGCTAACACAATTATATTCGAAGTTAGGGGTTAATTGCGTGAGTTAAGAAAAATAATTATATTTCTTAGAGGGATGGCGCTTAATTAACGTTATTTCTATACTCATTCATAGAAACTTGAAAAGCTTAAAGTTTCCGATATATAAGGCCCCAAAAATGCAAATTTTACAAATTTCCAGAGAAGGGGTGGAGGTGGCTACTAAAATATCAGGCTCCTACAAACGGAGGTATAGAAAAAAAACGATATCACAAAAATTTATAAAAAATAGATTTGGGTAACGGTAAATGTTAGTGGCCATTTTATTTTGACAAAGTTCTAATATGATATTAAAAGTTCTACGTTTGCAAAATTTACAAAACTTTTCTGGTTTTACTTAATAATTACTTAAAAAATAATTTTTAGGACTTTGTGGGGCTGTAACTTTTAAAGCTTTTTATCTTCAAGTCTGTAACCAGACACACGGAGAGAAAGACGAATGAACGGACGGGCGGAGTGGAACTAATAGGCACTTTTTTTTTAAATTTTTTTGAAAAAGTGCTAAAAGATATAGTTTATAATTTTTTTTTTTTTACTATGGATATGTACGTACTATGGATTTTTTCTTAAATTATGTTTTACTTTTGATTTTTCTTTCAATTTTATAATTAAAGCATGTACGTGTTTTGAATTTTCTTTTAATCGCATAACTTATGATAACGCGAAAATTTTAAGTGAAACTTTTTTCTTGATTTGTTTTTTCGCTTTCCACGTTTTACCCTCATCTTCTAAGTAATTTTATTTTATTATTACAAAGTCGATTTTCATATTTTTGATTTTGTTTGGTATTCAAATATTTCAAAAGACATTTAACAAAACTTTGGTCTAATATATTTTAAAGAAGTGACATATTTTTCAACTATGCAATGAATTCAGCTATGTCATCTTTCTGTTTTTTTTTCTGTGCCTTGCAAAATGAATTTTAGAATAAAATTTCTATAACTTACCGACCCTTTATCAAATTTTGTTTTGAAATTTTCACATAAAATTTATGCTTACCTCAAATTGAATTCATAACAAAATGCCCTTTTTGATATATTTATTGTTAAATTCAAGCCGCCTGTACCGTGTATGTTTACTTTTTATATGTTCACTTATCTGCCGAACGTACCTCTACACGGTACGTGCTTAGAAAATAAGGTGGGGAATCGGAAAAGTGAAACACAATAAATAAATAACAATCTTTTCTGAGTTAATTTTTTCATTTTATTGATCAAACTAAAAATTTCATGTTTAAGTAAGTGTTGCTCGAAAGCCGTAAGTTGACTCCATGAGAGTTTCAACGCTAGTTTTAAACTCTGTAAACTTTTTTTAAACTCTACAGCTCCCAAAACAGTAAGTTGACTTAGTTATAACATTTTAGAGGGCAAACTTACAGTCCACACAACATTATTAAAAGTAACTAGGCCTAACGCCTAACGCTTTTGTATTTGATACGAGTTTTTATTCAGAGAATCTGATATTTTGTCAGCGGCTTCTTGTATCAATTTAATAAAACGTTCCACTTCCAAAACTAATTCATTTTCAGGTTGCAATTTCTTTTAGACTTATATTTTAGTTCTTATACCAATTGTGGAATAGTAAATTAATATTTCTCTAGTGTGACATACGTATTGTAGAGCAAATTAGTATTGTCATCTCCATTGTGACATACGAGTACAAAGGGTTAATAAAAAGATTGTGACAATAAACTACAAAAAATCATCAAAAGAAGTAAAGAAGCTGTTGAAAGGAAAAGCTTTTAAGTTGTTGTTCTGATTTTTTGTTTACAAAAAACTTTACAATTGCTTCGACATTAGAAAAAATGCTTTGAAAATTTTTGTTTTACGTGAATTATCTTTCTATACTTATTTTATGTTAGTATTAAAAAATTTTCTAGATACTAAAGGATTTTTCGAATTTCATATTTAATCTAATTACATATGAATTTTTTGTCTCATTTCAGGAAGTATTTATAGACGAGGAGCAAGACGGTGGAGAAAATTATATCGGATTAATGGACATATATTCCAAGCAAAAAGATTCAACAGGGTGCGTTAATTTATTTTATAATCAAATAAATAGCTTTGATCTTAAAACTTTTAAACGAATTATATATTAAAATAATTTTAAAAAATTTAATTCATTTGATAATGCTCGCCAGCTTGTTGAAGAATTCGTTAGCATTTAATATATTTTTTGTACAAGAGCTGTAATTTTATCATTCTAAAAGTAAACTATCACAACAAAATTCTCTATACTTTTGGCAAGCTTCCGTACTAGCGAACTCTGGCGAATTGGCCATATGTAATACCAAAATGGCACACTCGTAAAATATAACAGCAAACTGTTACATTCTCCAATTGGTTTTTGAATCCGCCCGAATAAACCGTTTGTGAGCCCTTTAATCAGGGTTACGTTTCATGTTCATACGTTTTATTTGATTCGATTAAAATTTGATAAATATTCCGGTGCACAAGCTTAACGAATTCTCATCAAACGGAATCCATCAAATTAACAAATTTGAGCTAAAATCTCTACCTTTATTTAATTCAAGCATTCTAATAAAATTTTTTCTATTATATGTACAATTTATTTATAACATACATGATATGTAAAATTTTTTCTTAATTGAAAACATAATCTATTATTAATTTAGTAAAAGTTCTTTCAATACAATGAACTATTATTCGCATAAACTAATTGTTTTACCCAAATATCTTTAACAATTCTATTAATAATATAAAATTTTTATGAATATGGGGTTTTACTGTAATTTAAGATTGATTTAACGCAATAACCATAATACATGCATAGTTGCAATTTGACTATGAATCTCTAAATTATTAAGTTTCAATAGGATGAGTTTTAAGCAAAAAAAATTAGTTTATACTATCGAAGAAACACAAATAATGTCAAATATGTAATTATGTTTATGAACAGCTTGTATGAACAAATTATTTTTAAATTCTCTGCAAGTTGTTATGAAAATGTTTTCAAATTGGAAAGCTTTTTACGTAAATACACCTAACCAAACAAATAAAAAGAAAACTATTTTCAAAAGAAATTTTGTCAAACATATCAGGTGTTTTATTAGAATCAAGAATGCTTAATAATAACGGCGCCGTGGCTTAGTTGGTTAAAGCGCCTGTCTAGTAAACAGGAGATCGTGAGTTCGAATCTCGCCGGGGCCTAACAGTTACACTTTTAAGACTTTTTTTTATATAATCGAATTGTATAAACTGGTTGACTAACAAGATCGATCGATAATGTTGATAAAGTTTCAACATATATTCCTGACGTACTAATTTTATTTAAATTCACAACTGTTTTAATATTTCTATTACAAAAAGGTTATCGATATTTCATTTAAAAACATCAATTACTTACTTAAATAAATTTTAGTTTATAAACTATTTTATTTACATTAAACTTTATTACAGAATTTGCAACAATTCGCTTTATTCTGTTTCATTAAATTTTAATATTATTTTAATTTATGAAATAGGAGTTGATATAATTTTTTATAACATATTTAATATTATTTTGTCAAACTTTCCGAAAATTTACTTTTAACAAAAAAACGTTCTTTTACTTAAACTATGTTCTTCTATTGTTCTTGAATATATTTCTTTTTTAGCGAGCCTTCTGTGCCTACTGTCAGGATCGTATTTGGGGTCTTGGACGTCAAGGATTTAAATGTATTCAGTGTAAATTGCTTGTACATAAAAAGTGCCACAAATTGGTACAAAAGCATTGTACCAATGAGCATGTACCACCAATTGATAAAAATGGTAGCGAAGAATTGACAGAAATTCATCAAATAACATCGGAGATTAGTAGTAATCAGCAGCAATCCCAACATGATTTAGTTATATGTCAGTCTGATGAACAAACAATTGTTGAAGGTGAAGGTGAATCAAATATAGTTAATCAAAGTAGTGGTGTTGGAAGTGGTAGCGGTCAATTAGAACCTGGAACACAACGACAATATTCAATTGAAGATTTTGAATTGATTCGTGTAATAGGTCGTGGTAGCTATGCAAAAGTTTTAATGGTAGAATTGAAAAAGACCCGTCGTATTTATGCAATGAAAGTTATTAAAAAGGCCTTAGTTACCGATGATGAAGATATTGATTGGGTTCAAACTGAGAAGCATGTATTCGAAACTGCATCAAATCATCCATTTTTAGTTGGTTTACATTCATGTTTTCAAACACCGTCACGTTTATTTTTTGTAATTGAATTTGTACGAGGTGGTGATTTAATGTTTCATATGCAACGACAACGTCGATTACCAGAAGAACATGCTCGTTTTTATGCAGCTGAAATTAGTTTAGCATTAAATTTCTTGCATGAAAAGGGCATAATTTATAGGGATTTGAAATTGGATAACGTTTTATTAGATCATGAAGGTCATATTAAATTAACTGATTATGGTATGTGTAAAGAAGGTATACGTCCAGGTGATACGACATCAACATTCTGCGGCACACCAAATTATATTGCGCCAGAAATATTACGCGGTGAAGATTATGGTTTCTCAGTTGACTGGTGGGCATTAGGTGTACTATTATACGAAATGTTAGCTGGCCGTAGCCCATTTGACATTGCTGGAGCATCTGAGAATCCTGATCAGGTACGTTAATTTTTTTATTCTAAATTAAGTTTTTGTATATTTTTATTTCGTTTGTTTCTTTATTATTCTTTACTTATTTTTGAATTACAGTTTTATTATATTTTGTTCTTGAAGAAAGAAAAAAATTTAAATAAAAATTAGTCAAATTTTTTGACATAATTAATGTCAAAAACATTTTAATAAAAATCTTAACCAATACATATATATTTATTTATATAATAAGTATAAATATGTAATGTATTATATTTTCATATACATAAATATGATATATAAATACATAGCATTAAATAATCTTAGGAGAGTAGTGTTCGAATATATTTTTAATATACAAAAGTTTACGCAAAAACTGTATCAAAACTATTTACAAAGAGAAATAATCAAATTAATAATTTTTTTAATAATATTTACTAAAAATTTTTCTTTACATTTTACTTTCTTTTAACTAAAAATTGGCAAAGCCTTGAAAAACAGGTTCCAAGTCATGTAGCTTATCTTAAATCCACCTGAAACAATATTATAAATTGAAAATGTGGATTTCGCTAATGAACCATCTTTTGTTATTAAAGCATTTATTTTATAGTTTTTTTTTGTACCTTCAAATTTGTAAATCTTATTTTAAAATATAATTCATTTTTTTGTAAAATGTTAAGTTTAAATGGTTGCAACATTATAACTAAAATTTCGCATAAAATAATGAAATTACAAAATATAAACAATTTAAAATTTTTGATATACACGATAAAAACATGCGAAAAATGAATTTTTCATACATTTGCATTTTCCGCATGTTTTTAACAGTTAACATGTTTTACTGGAAAGACTATGAGAGATAGAGGAAAATGTTACATGGGTTAACTTTTAGATCTCATTGTAGCGCATCGGAAAAAAAGTATTAAAAAATTTTCGAGAAATTTCGAGTTTTGTAAATAAAGTTTCCGAAAAAAAAAACAAAAATTCTGACTTTGGTGATCTGAATCTCGAAAACTATACCTCAAATCAAATTAATTGAAAACCCAAAAATAAAGAACATCGTCTGTAAAACAAGCTCCTAATGATAACTCTACGTTGTACGGTTCCGAAGTTATAAGTATTTATTTACACGCAGGAAAAGTCCGGTACCTTTTTTTTCTTCACAAGGCTGTAGCTCGAAAGTTACTGTATCTGCAGCCCCCCCCATACAATTTTTACTGAAAACTGATCAAAGAATCATGAAGAAATCAGTGATACGCTAAAATATTTTTCTTAAAAAACGATAAAGGGATGTAGTCAACAGCAATTAAAAGGAAAATTGGCTTAACTACAATTGATAATTGACATTTGATACCGTATGAGTCTTGGTTATAATCTTAGATGATGCTGGTGAATGAGTTGTTAGGAAGACTACAACTACTTAACAAATTGTAAATTAACATATTAATTGTTTCAGCATTTTCAAAAAGACCATTACTCTAAAAGTATAAAAAAATTCTAAATTCAAAACAGTTTTAATATATTTTTATTATACTTCCATGCATAAATTAATTTCGACGTCTATTTATCTTAACTGATTTTTCTTGTTACTACCACCGCTACCTTGTATATACTTAAAATATATTAACAAATGATCTCAATAGCTAAAGAAAAATTAGTTATGAAAATTAAAATTCTTAACATGACATTCCACTCTAGTGAACAAAATCATAACTCATCATATGATAATAGTCAATTGTAGTTAAGGCTTATACCTTGTTAAACATACAAATTATTAAATAAGTAGCAGTAAATATTTTTTTAAATTTTGAACTATTAATCAACCAAAATCAGCTCATATTTTAAACTACAACTTTAAATTGAATACTGTTTATCGAAATCAAAACAAAAAACATATATATGTGGTTTAAAAGAGAAAATTGAATTGCTCTACAATTTCAATTAATTTTTTCATTAAAATTATAATTAAAGATTGTCGAATTGCTCAAAAATAAAAAATTGTTCTATAAAAATTATATATATTTATATAGTACATATATTTGCATACTAGCACATGAAACTCCTTTTAAAGTATAATCTACAATATTGATAGCAAATTAAATGTAACAGTATTGACTATTATTTTTGATTATTATATTGTTGAACTCCTATAAAAAAAAATGAATTTTGTTGAACTCCTATATAAGAAACTATTATTTTATAAAGTGACAATATGAAAAGTTGACAGGTTCAAAAAGATCCAAATTAATAAACATTTTTTAATGTTCCCAAATTATTTATATAAATATCAATAGTAAAAATTGTTAAATAAATGTTAATAATTCGCTTGATTTATTGGTTTTAATTTTCATTATTGTATTTATCAAATTCGCATATTACTTTTTAGTTTTTAAAATTTATTTATTTAATTTTATTGAAGTTTGGACCTTACGTAGAAATAAGAAGAGTAGAATACTATAGTAAATAAAATAGATTTTCGGCTAAAATATAAAAAAAATAGATTGTTGAATAGAAATTAAAAACAATTCGATACACAAAATATAAATAAAATTAGAAACATATTAATAATGAAGAGATGGAATTACTTAAAATATTTTTTATACACTATTTTCATATCAAAAAATAAATTATATATAAAAATTATGTATAAAATTTTTTACTCTATATACTTTTTCTTTTATATCAAACAGTACTTAACAAATTTTTGATTAGACTAGTAAAGTCCAAATTTTTTCAATTCGATTTATCAAATTTATACCACTTTAAAAAATATTTACATATAAAATGATAGTTGGATTTTTTTTTGATAAATATATTGTTTTTATATTTGTATTAATTAATAGTTATTAAGTTAAAATTTAAATGAAAAGAGCATTTATGGTATTATACAAATTTTTTAATTGCGTTATAACGTGGATACTTCTCGTATTGCAAACTTCGGTTTAGTATTATGGTCAACAACTATATCTCATAACATAATAATTATTCTCATAACATTTATGTCCATCAGAAATAAGTACATATGTATATAATAAAATAAAAATAAATAAATAAAAAGCATAAAATTGTATTTCTAACTAATTTAATGAAGTCATAAGGGTAGACTTTGGATAAAATTACGATTATCGTAACATTCCCGTTTTTAAAGAGGTTCTAAGGAGTTTATAATGTCGAATAAATAAGAAACCGAAAAGTTATATATTGCAAACTTAAGGAGTAAAAACTCAGTGTGGAAACTTTTGTTCAAACACTTTTTGCAAAAAAATCCATTTAGGACAATAAGATCATTCAAACACAAAAATTTAAATATATTCTGAAGTTCATATGTGTTACACCAATGAATTTATCAAGGTCAATTAAAAGTTGGAAAGGCATCATTCACAAATAAGATCCGCTAGATGGTTTCGAAGATTTATCTATATTTTAAGAAATTAATTATCAAATCCCCTACTTATATCAATATAATCTATAATCCCCGAGAAAGGTAAACGAAAGCAACTTTATTTCAATTTGAATATAATTTCCTCTCAACTACGTCCTTTTGCGTTTGTATTCTGAAACCTTGGAAAAATAAAATATCTCGTACTTTTTTAGAACTACTAAAACCTTTTAGAGTTTCATTCTTTTTTTTCCATTCAATTTAAAAATTTCAAAATAATTGATTAACAAATAAGAAATATTTAAACGTTATAATTTTCAAACAAATATTAGCTCTATTTTTTTAATAGTTAAAATAATATTTAGATATCCAAAATTGAAATGATTCGAATCAAATGGTCATGAATTTATTGAATTTACTTTATTGTTACTAATAGTTATTTTTTGTGATACTAAATTTGACGATAGAAAATAATAGAAAATTTGAACATCAATACAAAACTCAATGAATGCTCTTATTATTTAATTATGTAATTTATTTTGAAATTTAATTTTATAAATATTATTCGATAATATGAAAAAAAAAATAAAAATTTTTAAGTAAACAAAGGTTTACAAAAATATTTTAATTATCTACTTGTTTAATATTTTTAATTTCTTAGTTTTTTTTTTTAATTGCGTTTCTCAATATTTATATCTTTTGAAAAAATTATAATAAAATATCAAATTCTATTTTTTTTACTATAAGCTTTTACAAAAAAAATTCAAATTTTTTTAATTGAAAAACATAAGTTTGTATATTTTTTATATCTAATTTTTTTTAATATTCTTATTTTATTTTTTATTGTGTATTAAAAATAATATCTCACACATTGTAATTTGAATAATAAAGTGGAAATATCTGTATCAATTATCCGAGGTAAATTTTTTGAACCAAAATAATTGCTAAATATACAAATTTCTCAATAAAAATAAAACAAATAAAATCATTTTTTATATAAATATTATACAACTTTCGAAAAATATACATATGCATATAGTCATACTTACTAAATATTTAAATAATATTTTGATCATTAATTTTACATATACACATATACGTGTATATATGGTAAACTTATAACAACTGTAATATAAAAAAGTAAATAAAAATTATAAACCTACTATAGAATTCATTAAAAAAATGCTTGCATTCATTAAAAATCAAAAAAGAAACCAACAAAATCTGAACCACCCCACCACATCCAACAATCAAAATATTCGTTGTTTATTGCTAAAAAAAAAAATAGAAAATGTTGCCAAAAATTAAAAGTCACAACTAGAATTAATAAATAATTTGAATGATATATTAAAGTAAATAAAAAATAGATTAATTAATTTAAAAAAAAAATAACATGTTCTTAATTAATTAATTACACCATCATATTTAATTAATTACTTACTATCAATTTATTTATTCACATAAATCAATTTAGCATACATAAATTAATTATTAAATCAATTCCATATCATATTTTGTGCAACCCTAGTATTTATAATGTGTATAATAAAAAATTAATAATTAAATATTTTTTTTTAAACAATACACTGGAAAAGATTAGGATTGAAAACTATTGAATAACTTGCAAAACTTAAAAAAAAGAAATTCTCTAATTTAATTTAAATAATTTAATTAGATACGAAAAAAAAATTAGCAAAGAAGTCAAAGTGCACCGATTTCATCTCGCATTTATTTTTTTTTAATTGAATGAATATTATGTATAATAATTGAAATCAACGTAAAAATATTAATATTGGATTTTTTCATATTTTATTTAATAATTTTCAATTTTCTTTTTTTTTTAAATGCTATATAGAATACTGAAGATTATTTGTTCCAAGTTATATTGGAGAAAACAATTCGTATACCACGTTCGTTAAGTGTTAAAGCCGCCTCAGTACTTAAAGGTTTCCTAAATAAAAATCCAGCTGATCGCTTGGGTTGCCATCGTGAATCAGCATTCATGGATATTGTTAATCATCCATTCTTTAAGAGTATCGATTGGGAGATGGTGAGTATATCTATAGTTGTTTTTTTTAGCATGTATACAAAAAAGTTAATCCAAATTTTTACATTCACACAATAAAAATATATGAACAAAAATAAACAAAAAAAAAGTAAAAGTAAAAACAAATAAATGCAATAATTATAAAAAATACAAAATTCCTTTTCCTATTTCCAATTTTAACATTTCCTTATCATTCCTTAAATGTTAAAAGAAAAAGAAACTTAGATCGTTAATTTTTTATTGTAATTTCAATAATTTTTTAACAACATAGAATAAAGAAATTTTGATACTTTGGTATTTTGATTTAGTTAAATCCCTGAGTTTCATAATGTTAAAAATAACGTCTTCACTACGAACTTTCAAGTTCCAGATTGTAGTCCAAAAACTTTCTATAAATATCAAACGTTTTAAATTTGTAAAATTGTAGTAAGGTTTGCTATAGTGAAAATTAAAATGGTCCGGTGTGTAAACATAAATAAATCTATGTATGTACAAACATATATCTAACTAAATTATATCTAAATTAAACTTTTTTTCAAAAACTGGAGAATAATTTTAAAAGCTCTTAAACTCAAAATAGAATGGACAAATCATTGCGAGCTTATTATTACCCTAATACAAAAACATAGATAAACAAAATTTCAGATTATAAAATTTCATTTGATTTTAAGATTTCAAAACATCGCCTCCACAATATTGTTACTACATAAAAACTTTGCCCTTATTTTTATAAGCATTGTAAAACTTGTTGATTAAGCTTTTGTATGTGCGATATCCGATATAAATTTTTTTTTACATTATAGAACTCAAGGTATTTTTAATATTTTTAATTTTTCCAGCATAGTTGTTAATCAAGAAAAATTATTAATTTTGCTTACTGTGCCTTCATTTATGGTACAATATAGTTACATAAATTCCAATTTATTCATATTACTGAGAAAAGTATACATACATATGTACTTAAAACCAAAAATTTGTAATTCATGAAAGTCTTAAACCGTTATTCAATTTTCGGAAACAGATGCTTAATTAAATATTTTACACTTTCTTTAATTAAGTTTTTATTTATTTTTTTTTTGTAAATCAGTATGTTTTTTGCCAAAAAAAAAATTGGGAAAATTTTTTGACCAGCGTTTTTATGTACTGCACGTATAATCTGTCTTTAAGTACGAGAAAGTTATACAACCGATTTTATTTACTTACAAAGTATCATTCATGTATTTTTAGCAAGCTTGCACAGAGTTTTTGTTACAATTTTAATCAATAATTGTTACTTTTCATAGAGTGAGGTACTAACGTCAACCGACAAAAAAATTTATATTAATCAATTAAAATGAAATATAAAAGTAAAAATAAAAATAAATATAAATAGTAAAAATTCATTACAATTTTATTATATGTATGACCTTTAAATCATAAAAACGTGGATAATATAATAAGCCGTTTTTTTGCTCACCTTAGAAGTTTTTGAACCGAACAGATATTTTTATTAGATTATATTATGTAAATTTTAAAACGAATGACCCCAACTATCTAATGCCCCATTCTTGATTTATAAGAAATTATTTTAATTTAAGATATAATTTTTAATAAGAAAAAAAAATTAAGTAAAGTATGAGTACCCGAATTAAATATTACTATAGTTTCATGTTAAAATAGTTAGTAAAAATATAAATAAATATTGATACTTAAAATTAATTTTTATATTGCAAAACAGTGCCATCTAATTTAATAATATTTCTACAATTATATTTAAAAAAATTATTTAAATCTTATTTTTTTTAAGTTTAATTAATTTATGAAAGCATTATAATAAAATATTGTTTTTAATTTCATACAAACGAAAAAATCACAAAATTCTTTAAATTAAAAATAAAAATAACCCCACAAATTTGAAAAAAAATGTTAATAATTAAAACGAAAAAAGCTTGCTCAAAAGGAGGTTCAACCACCTTTTATTCCAACATTTGATCCTGGTGATCCAGATTTTACAACCAATTTTGATCCACAATTTACAAGAGAACCGGCTGAATTGACGCCAGATGATCCGTAAGTGGAACGGATATACATATGTTTTTTTTCTGTTTTTTTTTAGTTTTTCGTATTATACTATTTTTGTAATTAATCTTTAAAACTGATATAGTGAATTTAACTTGTTTTAAGATTTTATCAAAAATAATTTAATTGTCTATACATTATTTTTGCTATGAGTATTTATTATGAATGTATTCATATAGATTTCTTATATTTTTATAATTTTTCGTATAAAAATTTAATTAACTTTGCATTGTTCAATTACTTTTACCACATTTTACTATAATTATAATTACTTATTTTAAAAATTTTTTAGTTTTTCTTTTAAAATATACTTATGAGAATGGTTTTATAACATATTTATAAAGATTTAATAATATTTTAATTTCATATTAAATAATTTTAACAATTTATAATTTTTTAATTTACATTAATAATGTACATTTTAGCATGATGAAATCCTTTTGCAATAATAATTTTTAAATTTAAAGAAATTCTAATAAATTACAACCCAAATAACCAAAAATAGATTATGTACAATTTAACCAACAAAAATACTTCAAAATTAATAACTTTTTCTGAAATATTATAAAATATTTTAAAATTTAAAAATGATATATTTTATCATCGGTTTCCGACCGAGATAAAGCTAAAAAATTAATTGAATGTTACCCTTTTGTATTTGGAATTCAGTAAAAAATATGCCAATGCCTTTGCGACCCTTTTGATTAAAGTTTACCATATTTTTTACATATTTTAAAATAAATATATGTCTATTTTACCCACTTTTTATAAAAAACATAGAAATTTTAAAAAATTAAATTTGAATAAACAATTAAAAAAGCAACATATAATTTTCAGAATTATATGTTGCTTTTTTAATTGTTTAATTTAAAAATTAGCATAAAAATTCTACATTTTTTATGACTGGGGTAAGTTTTAAAAATTGAACTGAAGTTTCAAATTGAAGTTTTAAAGGAGACATTGAAATGTATAACGTTGTAAAAAAATTTGTCTAAAAAGATCGCAAAAGCTTTGGCATTTTTTTTTAATATGGTGGTTTTAAAAGCTTTAAGATGGTAGTAGACCGTATTAACATCATACAAAAATTTTTTATTCATCACTCAATTTGCTTTTACTTGACGTATTTATCGGCCCTATACGGATTAAAAATATTTTTAAATAGTGCAATGTCAAGAGCTTTTTTGAAATAAAATTTATGTTAAAGTCGAAAATAACTCTGATCGCTTTGTATGCTTTATAATATTGAAAGGCAAATTCGCTCATAAATTTTAAATGGTACTGCCTTTAACTTTTTTTAAAGAAACCTTTCGATTTCATGATTTCAATAAAAGCCGTCGTATTTCAGAAAATTATCATTATGTGTAAACAACGGACAATGAAAATTTCTTATTTTATTATTTTAATTTTTCATTATAATTACTATTTATAACACAAGTACAAATAAACAAACTATGCTTAAAGGTGTGCAAAAGATATAAAAAAAAATGTCATGTGATATTTCAAGCTTAACAAAATAGTAACAAGCTTTTGTTCTTTTCTTTTTATATTTCCATACCTTAGAAAAACTTTTAATAAGAAGTTTCTTTTCGTGGTGTACTCTGCACATCTCACATTAACTGTGATATGTGTAAGTATATAATTACGAAATTATTTAATATACATAAACGCGCACATATCCGTTAAGTTTATGCAAAAGATTGATCCACCCATCAAATACATTCCTTATCTAAGAACAAAATTAGATAGAAACAACTAAAAGTAAAATGGATTTTCAATGGATTTATTTGTCGTTTATATCAGTATCTTTCTACCGAAATGCTTAGGGAAATGTACATTGTAAATTTTACATCCAAAAGTTTACATTTTGGTGGACGGCCTTACATACATACATTTGTACACAAAAAAATATGATGTGACCAGCACATAATCCACAGCAAATTTAATTTTCTGTTTTGCGATTATATGATGTGAGCTTTTAATTTTGTACGAAAAAGTAAATCCGAACCGTATGAAAAGTCTAATTGTTGGCACTTGATTTCCTTGAAAAACCAGGTGGGTTACCAGACGAAGCTTATACATATACAAAATTTCAAAAATTATTAAAAATATAAAATTTGCCTAAAGTAATGATCCAGTTTCCGAGATTTTAAATGTCTCAAAAGTTGATAACTAGCAAACAGGAATCAGAAGTAACAAATCGGAAAAGACCGACTAACATTTCGCTAAATATAGTTTATTTACATTTCATTTCCATGGAGAAGCTCATTTCCTCCGAAAACTCGACAAACGAAATTTCTGCAATCACATATGGCAAAGCCTAGTTTGTTATATGTATGGCAATAGCATATAATATGTAAAATAAGGGCATTTTACGCATATTTTAAATGGTTCAAATCACAGTGATTGTAAGACCGAAAATAAAAAGCTATAAATCGCATGTAAAACAAGCCACCGATGGTTCCTCTAAGTCGCATAGCTCTGAAGTTATAAGCAATTATTTATATATGTAGAAAAACGAGTATATACAAGCTGTAACGAAAATGAATATATCTGCACCCACCCTGCACCATTTTTTATTGGAAATTGATCAGAGACCCCTGAAATTATTTGCTTCCTCATGCGAAAAACCCTGCATACATATGTATGTCGATATAATATTTTTGTAAAATTCAATTTAAAATTTTACATTCCTAATATAAATACATATTTATGTATTCCTAATTTTTATTATTTCATGATGTTTCTTAACTTTTCTTTATAAAATAAAATGCTAACAAAGTTAATAATCTTAACATAATATATATTTTTAACAGCTGCTATTTTATAACATAACACACTACATAAAAGTAAAGCTTTTTCACAAACAGAATTAACCATGATTTAGTATGAAAATTTTTTACATATTCAATACACTATTATTGTGTAAAACCAATATTATTTTCACTACGTAATATTGCCCTAACATGAGTGTATGTGTGTACATTAATTGATGTAAACTTTATTTCTTGCAACGTTACAATATAGAGCTTTAAAATCAAAGCTGGGCTTTAAAAAACTTGTATTAAGCATATACATACATGAATACAATATGTTGAAAAATGTTTGAAATTTTAAAAGTGTGAACATAATTTTAGTGTAAAGATCAAAAAATAAAAATATTTGGTATGCGCAGATGTGGAAGTTTTTTTTTTGTTGTATAGCCACAAATAATAAAAATATATATTAGCTATAATTAGTTCATTAACAGAAACAAAAAATAGGAACACTGACAATAATGTTATAATGTTTTTGCTAAATTAATCTTTGTAGGCTCAATGGTCTAGGGGTATGATTCTCGCTTTGGGTGCGAGAGGTCCCGGGTTCAAATCCCGGTTGAGCCCTGTTTTTTTTTTCTCTTGTTTAAAAAAAAAACTCAAATTTTTGTAATTTTTTTTCGGCGAATATTATAATATACACTATAAATATGTTAGACTATAATATAGTCTATAGTAAGTGTTTGAAAAAGCAATACATGTATGTATAGCATTTGATATTTGCAATACATATCGTAATACACTAAAATGTACATCATTAAAAATTCTTGTATAATTTTCAAGATTTAATATTTTTTTAAGTTATTTTTAGTTTACATTAGCTATAGTTTTTCAGGACAATATTTGAGAATTGGATGGCCCATGAAATATAAATGATTCTTATTCGCTTTATAATATTTTTTTATTCATAAGAAAAAAAGAAAAAAATCATTACATGTAATCAGTAAAATTAAATTTTTTTGATTTTGAACTTTAAGTACATATTTTTATTTTAAAATCTTACATTTGTTAATTTTATGTTGTTTTGCAATTTTGTTGACATAAGAATTAAAAATAGTACGCGATCCAGGTACAAGGTATTAAAAGAAACATAATTATTGTTTACCATTACGTATATTTAGAGTTCCCATTTCATCGCAATATCATTATCCAAAAGTTCTATCCAAGATAGACAATTCTTTGTATTTCTTATAATGCATTATAATGAAGCCTGTTCAAAATTGAAATGTGACAGCATAAAATTGAAAGAAATATATGAGCTATTATCAATTTTTTTACAGGAGAAAACTATATCTTGTGAAATATTTACAGGAGAATTTTATCTTGGACAGACCTAATGTTATAATTATTTATTTATTTATTTAATTATTTTTTCAATTTTTACTTTGTGATGGCTCTAATAGGTTAACTTACATGTTCATACCAACATAATATTATATACAATATATTTGTGTACATTTTTTATTCTACTTTCTTAAAGGCATCAAAATTTATTTAAATTAATCAAAACACAAGATAAAGTGCATGAAAAAACTGCAGCGTAAAATAAGAACCTAAATATAATTAGAGAGCTTTAATTTCCTATTTTGTTTTTTTTTTATTAAATTTATATTTATCAAATACTCGTATATGTACATAACCATTACCGAACTTAAATAGTAATTTGTAAAGTCATATTTACCTATATAAGCTTACACAATAGACAAAAGTAAGTAAAAAGGCATAAAAAATGCAGTGCAGCTTTTGTTTTCCTTATCCGATTCCTTAAGAAACAACAAAACAGCAATCAAATAAACAAATCAAAATAAACAAAAAAAATGTTCCTCAAAATCCTTAGCAAAAAAACTGTCCACTATCAACAATGACAAAACTCTTTTTTAATTGAAAAACTTTGGATTTAATAAAGAACAACCATAACATAATATTAAAAATTTCCAATAAATTGTAAGAGTTTTTTGGTTTTTAAATAAATTATAAGTTGTTAAAAGGAAATCATCTTTAGGGTTTCGATAATCGATGATATCTCTTAAAAAAGTTTATGCTTGGCTAGTACATACTTTGAATATTGTAATGCTTGAAGAAGATTAACAGTCGTCTATAATTTTGAATGCTGTAAATAAAAAAGAAGTTGAAAACGTAAATAAACGTAAACTTTCTTGCATCAATACGACAGTGTAACTGCATCACTTGAAATTAGTCATAATTAATTCCCCCTTGATGAATAAAATTGAAGTTCTTGGGAATTATATTTATTTATTCGTTAACGAAAGGTTAAGCTTTTTCTTTATATGGTTATCAAATTTAGCTTTTAGAACTGAAAAAACAAAATTACAATTTTGGCTGCAACTGATGCCGTTAAGTAACATTTTACTTAATAGTTACGAAGTTTGCTTAAATTTGCCATTCTGAAATCCAAAATTTTTCAAAAAAAGTTCATTGAATTACAATCATATGAAAATTTGTTCCGTTAAAATAACATACTTGCATATGCAATTTGTCTTGTGAATTCATATGCAAGCCTTACAAATCAAAATTGCTTGCTTTATTACTAAATAGATCACTCATGAACATTTTCATATTTTTTATTTAATTATTTAACAATTTTTATTTTTTTTTTTGTTTTTTTTTTTATCCCTATTAATTTACTATGATTTGATTTCCTTTTTTTTTGTTATTGTACTTTTCTTTTGTGTTTTCGAATTCATGTATTTATAGCTAGAGCAAAAACAAGTTACACCACCATTTAAACCAAGATTAGATTCTGACCGTGATTTGGCTAATTTCCCACCCGAATTTACTGAAGAGGCTGTACAATTAACGCCGGATGATGAGTAAGTTATGATTTTTCAGTTTTTTTCCTTTTCTTATACATTGATATTTTTTATTTTGATTTTTACAATTTATTATAATTCTTTTAATTAATTTTATTTCTTTAATTAAAATGTAGAAGTATGAAAATAATATATATAAAAATTTAAGAACTCTAAGCATTATGCACTAAATATATAGTTACAATATTCAAATATGCGTTATTCATAAGCACGAGTATTTTACTTTTATTTATAATTATTTTGAATATAAATTTATAAAATTAAAATAAAACAAAATTTATTAAAAAATAATTTAATATTTTTCCAACATTTGTTAATTATTTTTTTTAATTTTTCTTTTATTTAGTCGTGTTATCGACAAGATCGATCAATCGGAGTTTGAGGGATTCGAATATGTGAATCCATTGTTAATGTCATTAGAGGATTGCGTCTGACATCACGCGTCTTGTGAACTGCATCCTTATAATATGCAGGTAAAAATTTTCCAAAAACTATTTTATCTTTATATCAATAATATTAATCTTATTCCTTTTTTAAAGTATTACGGAGATGATTCCAGCGACTATGATTCCGTTGCTGAAGATCTCAATGTTCTCCAGTTACCTCCTCCACCATCCAATAAAAGTCTACTTCAGCACATGTTTTGCCTTCCATTGAATTAAGCGAAAAAAAAACAAACAAAAAATCATTAAAAAAAATAATAACTCTTAAAATTACAAAAAAAAAAATAAAAAAATAACTAATATTTAAATTTAAATAGTTAAATAAATTAATAAATTATTCATTACAAAAAAAAATGAATTAAATTAATTGTAATCTTTTGAGAAACAAGAACAAAATATTATAAAACAAAATTTTTAAAATTAACTGTTTAATTTTCATTTTATTCTAATAAGTAAATATAATTTCAATTTTGTTTTTATTTTTTTTTATTTTATTTGCAAAATTTTAATAATTTTAAAATATTGTATTATTAACTAAGTCAACTTTTTTCACAAACTATTTTAAATTTCTTAATTATAAAAATATTTCTAAATAATTTTCATTCTATATTCACAAAGCCATTATATTAATAATCAAATTATTTAAAAGTTGCAAAAAATATTAAATATTTTTAAGACTTAAAATTTTTAAAATCTTAAATAAAAATTAGAGGTATATAAAATACACAATATAATTATAATGTTGTAAAAAGGTTTAATGTTAAAAATTTATTTGTTGTCACTTTACTATAGAAACTAAAAATATTATTCGATGAAGATGAAAAAACCAAATGTTTACATTTAAAAATATGGTCTTTAAAATTATCTAAGTAAAACCTGAATATTACAATTATTGTTATTAAAATTATAAAAAAAATTATTAAGACACTAATGTCTAATATATTAAAACTAAAGTTGGACTAAAATCTGTTAAAATTATTCTGTAATTATTGAGGAAAGGTTATGCTAAGAAATTATGTCTAAATTATAGAAATAAAAACATTATTTGTACTTTTTATACCTCTAATAACTTTATACATAATTGTAGAAATTTACAAGTATTTATATTTTTAATTCAATTTCGCATGTTTACTGGAATTAAGTTTTTGTAGCATTTAAAAAAATTATAGTAAATTGTTAAAAAAAATATTTTTGTTGATTTTAATTTTTTAAACTAGTATTAATTTACAAATTATTGAAAAATGTGTACGTTTTAAATCCCAGAAAATGTTAAATTTGTATGTATTAATAAAATTTGTTATAAAGAATTTTTTATGTTTGTGTATCAAAAAATGTTATTAAGACGAAAAAGAAGTGTTTCCGTTAAATATAACGGCACCCTAAGTCGTCAGACTCTTTTACATATATATTTTCAAAACGAAAACAACAAAAAATTTTTTATAAAATAACCAAAATCATTTTAATAGCATTCCTTTCTCAAAACGTCTTAAAAATTGATTAAATTTTATTTAAACAACTCTCAAAATTGTAAATTAATTTAATGTGAAAAGCAATTGTATCTGAAATCAAATATAATCTTGAATGACAATTTAGGATTATGTCATTAAATGAAAATTTGAAAATAGAAATTTAATTTAAAATAATTTAATTCCAGTATAACCATTATATTTAAGAAAAAGAAAATTCTTGTAGGGCAAAACAATGATTATTATATAAAATAAATATTATATTTTGTTAATATTAATTAATTTTTTTTATTATATAGTTTAAATTCAATTTTATTTTTTATTTCTATTACCATTATAACTACATACATAATTAAAAATTAAACAATCAAGTTATTTTGTAACACTCATGTTGTACTGATTTGAAAAAAAAAATTATTGTACTTAATGATTTAAATTATTAAACTTATTGACTTAATTAAAAGATATTTAAACAAAACAAAAATAGTGTTTTTTCGTAAGATAAATTTATTTGCAATTAAAATTAAAAATTATGATAAATTATTTTTTCACGAAGTTTAGAAAACAATGAAAAATAATACATGTATAATCAAAACAAATTCACTGATTGTTTTCACAAGAAAAAGTGTTTTAAAATAGAAGAAGCAATATAATTTCGCTAATAAATAAAACAAGAATAATACTTGCATACATATATATATAAACATCAATGTACATCGGGTATAATACAATATTAAAATTAATATAAGTTTTTATTTCACTTTCAGCAAGAATTTAAACACAATTTTTCTTATTTTATTTTAATATTTATATTAGATTAGACAAACTTTAAAGAACAACTTTTGTTCAATATTTTTGGGGGAAATGAGCACAGGAAAAAATTCACTAAATCTTCGAAATTGTATAAAACTCAATTTGATTAAGTTATTGCTAAAAGTGCCAAAAAGTCTGTGAAAGAAAAAGAAATTTATGGCCAGTTTATCATAAAAGTGGTAAAAATCTGTCAGTCTCACAAATTAATGCAAATAAAAAGATATAGGACTAGTAATTCGGCTTTTGCAAATGCTTCTACTAAAAATAAGATTTTACGCCAAATTTGCTTTTTGATTTTTGGTACAATCTGCAGTAATTAAAATAATACAGTTTACAAAAATGACAAACTAAAATCAAATTCAAGTATAATAAATTTTTCGCTCAGTTAAAATTATGTTAAGAATGTTACAAGAAAAAAAAAATAATATGTACATACATATATAAATTTAATGTTACCTTGTTTAACCCTTAACGGCCGAGAGCATAAGTACTATGTCCCCTCAGCGGGGCCTTTCGGCCGTTAAGGGTTAATATTTTAAAAATATTGACATTTGTAGGTATATCTACCTTTTTTGCTGCTTGCTTAACAAAATGCAAAATTTAATTTGTATTCACTTACGTTAACGCAATTACTTTCATATTTTTCTAAACAAAACAATAATTTCCTTTTTTTATTATGCAGTAAAATAAAATGAAAACTAGATGTCAATTTTTACAACCCCCCTAAACCATAACATGTGTTTTAATTATAAAATATGTTTAAAGGATTACATTTATGTTCTGCATAAATGACTTAATTAGTTAAACTTTGAATATTTTGTTTTCTTTGAAGTTAATGAAACTTTTTTAAGTAATGTTTACTGTTTTATATATAAATATAATTAATAATAATGAAAGGAAATAAAATTTATATTTACATTGTATTATACATATTTATTTTGATTATTTAATTTTTTGAAACTATATATGTACTTTCTTTAAAGTAAAAATTATTTTATTTAATTTCGTCTTTTTCTTCTTAAATGTTTATGTTTTTTTTCTTTTTTAAATAGATATAAAGGTAAAATTTATTGTAATAACAAGTCATGATAATTTTAAATGAAATAATGAACAGATATTTAATATATTTTTGTAAATTTATCTTAAAAGGGCTACAGCAGACTACAAATTATAAAACAAACTATAATTAAAATTATTATATTTATTGTAATACTATAACTATTATTGACTATATCATTTACATTGGAAACTATTTTTAATTTTTAAATAAAACATCATAAATCGTATCAATTCATTTTTTTTCTGTCTAAATTTTTTAGAAATTTAAGCCATAGCTTTCAAAAGAATTATTTAAAGAAAAATTTTAAAACGTTTCAATTTGGCACAATTCGAAGAATTAAGACATTTCGAAGAATTTTTCTTTAAATTCTAAAAATAATGAATGCTTGATAAGTATTTTTAGTTTGATAAAACTACAGCATTTGTTTTATTTCTTATCTTTATTAAACTCATTTTTAAAAAAATTCATTAAAAAGTTCCGAAGTCATTTTGATTCAACATTCTTAGTTCATCTAATAAAAAAGTAGAAATTTTTCATTTTCAATATACAAAAAAAAAGCAATGTTTTATTTGATTAAAACATTTATCAAAATATACATACACACATATTTATATTTCAAGAAAGTTGTAACACTGTGAAACTTAACAAAAAAGAAACAAATAAGAGTCAATATAGAATCTTATAAAATAGGTTATTATTTTTGGGAAAAACTTGAAAATATTCTAATTTGCGAATGAAATTAATTACTCGACGTTATTGAAAAAGCCTTTCATTAGGTATTTTTGAATCTCGTATAGCATTCTCTTCTCACGTCTTTCTAACATGAGAAATCTATTGGCGTAGTAAAATAACTTTAAATTAAGGAAAATTAAAATATTCAAGTTCATATTTTGAAAATTATTAATTTTTTTCAATTTTAATATAAAATTATTTTTCAATCACACAATTTTTATTTTTATTTTATTTTGAAACCCATGTTGTGTGTGTAGAAAAAATATTTTTTTAAATTTTTTTTGTATACAAAAGAAAATAAAAGATCTATTAATCAAGAATGAAAAAGTTTTAGCATATTAGAGCAAACTAGAAAGTAAAATGAAAAATATGATAAATTTAGTAACTCATTATTAACAAAAAAATACCTTGAAATAACGAGAATTGAAATGAAACTAAATATTTTGTTAATTTTTTGTTCCACATTTTTATTACTTTACTTTGAATTATGTAAATGAATTATACTAATATTCAAATATAAATGTATGAATGTTTACCTTACAGTGTTTGTTAAAAATATATATTTTTTGATCAAAACGAAAATGTAATGTGCCAGGTTTTTTTTTTCAGTTTTTAAGAGGTGTGCGCAAAAATCAGTAAATCAATTATAATTATTGATGCAATCATATTACTAAAAATAATACTTAATATCAAGTGAAATTGTATATTTTAAATAATTATCGAAAATATTTTTATACTATATTTGTAAAAAAATTATATAGAAAACAAAGTTTCTTGTACCTATTGTTCAGTTAAACCCAAAAATTATCAAATTGTTTCCCCTCTAATTTTATCTAATTTTTGGTAATAAAAAATATTACTTCACAAATATTCTGTAAACGTGAAAAAAAAAAACAATTGTTGGAATAATATTAAACTGGTATTTTTGTAGCTAAACTAAAATACACCATTATTACTGTAGTTATTTAGAAATAAATGTTATCAAAAACATAAAATTTTGTAAATATTATTAAAGCAAATACATATATAAATATATATATATATATATTTACGGATAAAAAATCTAAGTAAGCAATTAAAAATTGAAATAATTTGTATAAATCGTTCTCAATGATGCACATTTTCTTTAATACGCGACACTTATTATTTGAATATGATTCTAAAATACTCTAGTTTTTAGAAAAAAAAAATCAATTTTAAAATTTGAGATTGCATACTGAAAGCCTCAATACTTCGAAATAATACCCCATTACCGCAAGTGATGCATTTATGAGTAAAAATTTTATATATTCGTTTATTTTTTTTATCATGTTGTTTTATAAGTATAATGTTCTATTTAATATTTGTTTCTTGGTTTTTTTAATTTTAAGTATATTATTGTAAAAAATAATTTATAAAATGAAGGTTGTTTCGATAAAAAAATGCTGCTAAAATTTCTAAATTGATAACTTAAAATATTTTTGATTTTTTACAAATTAACAAAAATTGGTGGTGGTATTTAAAATTTTAAGGGCTTAAATAAAAAAAAATTATTTATGGCACATTATTACATCTCCCAAACATTTGACCTTGTTGTATGTACAGACAAGATATTGTTTTCAGCAATTTTGTATTGAATGTAGGAATGAAACGCGTTACATGTGTTATGCTATGAGGTTTGTCGATAATTTCTAGCTAAATTAATCCCTCTTTTAACTTCGTACTAAATTTAATAATCTTTCTACTAAAACAGAGCAAACACTCATAACTTTTTTATACAATAATATTCCATAAGAGCTTATGAAATTTAAATTAATACGAGAAGAATATTGAAAATTGTAAACAAAAATACAAAATTAATACCCTTATTATGATCGGCGAAGCGAATGACGAGGCGAGTCGAATGAACTAGGGGAATCGAATGATATTTTAAATTATAATCGGCGAATGCTTTCATTCGCCAGACCCAAAATGTTGCTACAGCAAGACGTCAGAAAACCTACCGAAAATAATAAGAATAAATAATAATAATTAACACCAGACGTATGTATATAGTTTTTGTTGTTTTGCAAAAACAATTGAATTTTTCTATCTTATAGCTATTACGGGGTTGTTGTCCATTAATTTATTTAAATGCTCAAATTGTGTTTGGTTCGTGTTTTTCGCGCTTAAATTAATATTTTAATATTTCATTATTTTTTACAATAACTTGTAGAATTTTATGAACTTATTTTACAGATAGTTTAGATTTTTGCATTATATCACTATAAATGCTATAATATCCTATAAGAAAAAACACTTATGTATTAATTTGATTTTTCGTTCGCCAAGCTTGTCACACAGAATTTTCATTCGATAGATTTGACAATTCATTGGCCAAAATTAAGGCAAAGTTGCTAATCATAATACCAAAAATTCATATTCGCCAAAAATTTCATTCGCTTCGCTGATCATAAGAAGGGCCTAAATAAATTGTATGGGTAGAACACAAGCATTAAAACAAACCTGGTTACGGCATTTCAACAAAACTGTTAAATTTTATTAGCTGAAATTTTTTAAATTTTCTTAAAAGAATTCAAACAATCAATTTCATTCAAAAAACTGCTCAACTGACGTTGAAAAAGGATCCTTTTTCTTTATGAAAAACAAATAATATGTAAAAAATAAACGTAAATGTTTTACTTAATACAAAAATATTATATTGTATGATGTTTCTTGGGTATTTTGAATTCTTTTAACGTTCATCCCTTGGTGATCTTTTTTTATATTTTAACATTCAAAGGCTGCGAGTTTGGAAAATTAATAGACTTTTAAAACGCGAACTCAGAATCATCACACATATTTTGAAAAATCTTTGAAGCTTTTTTTTTTAAGTATTAAAAACCGGAATGTCTACATTTCAATAAATATTTTAACTATTTTCGTAGTGCAGACATTAACTTTTTAAAAATGGGAATTTTTCAGATATAAATTATAATGTTAAGTTATCGCTTTATGATTGTAATAAATAATTCATTAAAAATAATTCTATGTAAAAAAAATATAAATTGTAAGATTCAAATGAAAACTGTTTGAACTCCGTTACAATTTTTAATTCGTTTTCTACACTATCAAACAAAGTAAATGACATATTTTGGCAAAGAGAAATATTATTTTATTTGTTATTTTATAACTATGATAAATAGCATATTTTTAATATTTATTCATTTTTAAATTAGGAGAAAAAAATTTTACAATATATTACAATACTTTAATTTAATTGAACAATTGATACAAATACAATAATATAAATTTAATTTTTTTTTTCAATTTTTAAAAATTCAGTAATTTAAAAAGTATTAAAAGAAAAGTATTTAAACGAATAAATTAACAAAGGAAAGAGGTATTGACAAAATTAATACTAAAAAAATTAAACTAATAAATATCATGAATATAATATGTATATGCATATATGTATATAAATATTATAACAAATATAAATATGTATTATCATTAACATTGTAATAATTATAAACATATGTATGTATATATTTATATATATATATATATATATATATATATATATATATATATATATAAATCCAATGTCTTTGAAGGAACAGATAAATTTATGATAAAAATGAAATTTATTAACTATACATAAAAAAATTAAATAAAATTATTGTTTTAAAAAAATCTTAATAATGCCACTTTTTTTATTTAATAACATTGCCTTTTCTAATTTGCAGGGAAAAAAATAAGTAATTATAGCTACAATTCAAATTGAACTAAATTAAAAATATTTAATAAATCAAAACAATGTAAGTTACACATTTATATATGTATGTATGTGTGAGGAAATTATTAATATACATACTTTACAAATATCAAGCTACCTTAAAATTATTACTAAACAATACATATGTATATATTTCCAATTTGAAAAACTGTTCAATTGCAATTAAATTTCAGCATTCAAGAACTTGAAATTTGCAAAAAATTCTTACACTTCCATATTTAAGTTACTACAAAAACTTTACCGTAGCATTGGCAACTTCACCTGTTACTATTAACGTACTATTTCTAGACAAAACTTACAAGGCAGCATGCTCATTAATAAGCAATAATTTTCCGAAAACTAGCAAATATCAATTGATCTGAATTGTTAGAGCTAGACTATTTATTCTCCAATACGTGAAATTAAAAGCTCTCAGCTTTATAAAGGTTTCGAGATACATTTTTTGAATTGTCGTTTGAGGAGAAAAAAAATGTAAACAAAAAGTGAATTAGACAAACTATTTTATATTATATTTCATCCGTTTTTTAAAAAAAAGGAGCAAAGTTTAGAAAAAACAACGAAATATAATAACAAAACCAAAAAAATTCAATTTTGTAGCATAACTAAATATAAAAAATAAAATCTGACTAAGTTGATGCGTACATACATATATCATTTCAATTTGTATTTTTAACTAATGACTATTTTTAACTAGAAAGAGTTCATTATTAAAGTATGTTCTTTAGACTTGCCTTAAAGTCAAATTCTGTATAGATTTTTACTTCAAGAACTACTTTCAAGAACTACTATAATCTGACAAAAAAATAAAAAAATGTTTGATATTTTGTCGTAACTTAAAATGTCATATTGGAAAATATCCTATCTCGAGAACTTAATTAGATGGGAACTAAAATTCGAATCTACTCATGGAGATTAAGTTTGCTAAATTTTTAAAACGAAAAATAAATTCTTTGCGAAAGGAGTGGGTATTTATTGGTAAAAATAAAATTAGCATTCTTGATAACCAAATTCTAATACCGAACCAGTGCTGCAAAAACTGAGATTACAACATATTTTTCAACAAAACTTTTTAAAATCCCAAAATTAATTCTGCAAAAAAATGTCAATTTTAAGACAGGATTTTTATTAAAACTTTATTAAGCAATGTAGACCTGTTCAACTTCACACTACATTTCCATTATGATTCCATTATTATGATTATTCTCTTTGTTCGTTCTATTAACTGCTCTTTCACTATTGTTCGTTCTTTAATTGCTCTTAACACTATTGTACTGATACGATCCTCTATTATGTGTAATCTTTGTCAGAAAGCTTCAAATTTAACATGCACGACATTTTAAAAGCTCTGTCAGGTACAAACATTTGTCGTGTAATACCTCTAAAGAAAATGGTTCCAAATTTAACTAAAAGAGAAGAAACAAGGACAACAAAAACAAAACATTGTTTTGCACTATTGCATATATTTATTCTTTTTTTACTAAATGCTAACTACATAATTTTCAACAACTACATTAAATTTTTATACTTGTTTGTTTTTTCTTTTTTCATCTGCTGAAATCAAACAGATAATTTGAAAAAATCAAACAATTTATTTCACAAAAATATAAGAAAAATAATTAAATGGAAGTAACAACAATTTGCAAAAAGAAAATATAAAAAACGTTTTACTCGACATTTGCGTTTTTAATTTTATTTACGGCCTTGTAGTTATTCATCTGTTTATGTAAATCGGATTTTATTGTTTAATTTGATATAATCGATAATTAAATGCTTTGCTATCATAATTAGACAATACCAAATTCTTTTGTCTTGTTTCCATAATTTAATTCACTTAATTGCAGTTTATGCAATGAATCATTGCTATATATTATGAAATTTACAAATATAAGTTATAAACATAAAACTTTTGTTAAAATAATGTTTATTTGGACTGTTCAGCCAAATATTCTTTCTAAAATTATACCAAATAATTTTGGAAAAATTAATTCTGCACGTTAACAACTTTTTTGAACTTTACTATTACATGTAAAAATGTTACTGACTAGATAAAAAAATTTAAATAGTGCTACATAGTAAAACAAATCCAATTTCATATATGGTATTATCAAATTATTTTTTGATCCTAATAATTGGCAATTGACCAAAGAAACAGAGTTACTATTCAAATGTTAGAATATGCGATCTTCAAAATTTCTATTATTTCAAATGACATTTTTGGTAATTTTTTCAAAAAAATACATAGAATAACGCATTTTTTTTATTTACAGAGCAATTTTTATAACAATTTTTGTTAGGGTTAACATAAAATAAATCCACTTTTGAATGAAATTTTTATTAACACATTATAAAAATTTGTAAAGTAAGAAAATCAACAAAAATTTATGTTCTCTAATGTGCAAAAATTTCTTTCTAGCTAAATAGTAAAAAGATGAATTACTTATATGCAAAACTAGATAACTGGTTTATTCTTCGTTTTTCAAATATAATAAATTCATGTTTTATTGTTTTAAATATACTTAGTTTTAAAAATTTAAGCAAAATTTTTAGATAATGCCATATATATCTATCATATATATATGACATTACTTTCCGAAATACGAAAAAATTTCTGACAAATTCTTTGACATGAGAGGCATCCCAACACTTTAAAAACTAAAATTTTTTAGGCAAAATAAAATAAAAAGCATTTTAATTTAAAAAAATGACGGGATTACAAATATGTCCGACAGGGTATAATATATCCTTCAAATAAATAATCAAATTATGATGTGGAAATTGATTTGCAAACCTTGAGCCATATGTATGTAAGTCGTTTTCTAAAATTGTAACAAAATATTTGCAACTTTTTACATAAAATTAGGCTTGTTATATATGCTAGGAAAAGTTTAACTTTATAAAGATAATCTAATATCATTTTCTTTTTAAAAACTATTTTAAAATTCTTTTAAAAACTGCTCTGATTCTTCTATATATTTAGCTTTTATTTCTTTCAATTGATATTTTATAGTATCGAAAATGGATTTTCGTATGATTTAATATTCTATTGTGAAACTATGTATAATGTATTTCAAAATGACATATTACTTAAAGTCTAGTACATTAAAAAAAAATTTTTGATGCAATTACTGTTTTATTTTATACGTGTTTAATAGAATTCAACTTGTAACGGTAACAGCATCCACTGAAACTTCTTGTTTCTCATCTAATATTGTGGTAGATCCGTTTGCTATCTTAATTATACTAGAACGTGATTCATCTTCTGCATTTAAAGTTAAATCTGTAGTTTTTTCAGTCTCTTGATCAACTTTGGAAGCGGCGTTTGTTATTATTCTTTTAATTGACTCTGAAGTTTCGGTTGAAGCTGTTTCGCTATTCTGATGTTTTTCCAATTCGCTACGCAGCTTAGCCATATTTTTCGGACTAAAATATAACGTTCATTAAATATAAATATACGTTGAAAAAGGTCACATTTACCTTATTTGAACGAATAAAATTCCATTGATTGCATTCAACATATCTAAAACTGAGCCCATCGTTGGCGGTTGAATATGAATTGGTGGAAGTCCAGTTGTTAATTTGCCGTTTGTGTAAATGTCGTTCATTTTCTTTTGCAAAAATACGGCTTGTTGTGTAAGTATTTTAAGACACTCTGAGGATTCTTGAGTTTTTTCATGATTTTCACCAAGCTAAATTTGTAAATAGTATTCCTTCTGTTATTAAAAAATATTCATTTGTTTTTGAACTCAAAAATACCTGTTGCTTATAAATAGCATACGTTTCTTTTTCATTATTTAAGGCTGATCTGAAATCGCCCATACAACTTTGCGTTCTTGCAACTAAGTGATAACTGACTGCCACTTTAAGGGATTTTTTTCCAAAATATTTAATATTCAGCGCTAGAGCATGCTCCAAAAATTTTAAAGAAGTTTCATAATCTCCAACAGCATGAAGAATTAAACTTATGTTACTCTAAAAATTTACATTAATATTTGAAGTTTACCTAAAATCTTTATTACTTACATCTAATAAAGCTATGTCCGGATGATTTTCACCAAAAATTAATAACGCCAAATAACGTGCCCTGTAGAAAAGTTTAAGAGCTGTACTTATTTGTCCATTTGCAAAGCTGTATAAAGCTAAATGTGACTGAAAGTAAAAAAAAAGGTTCTTTGTAATACTTAATTAGTTTTTGGCTTAAAAACTTACATATTCTAGTATTACATATGGGTGATCAATTCCGTTTACGCGCTCACTCATAATCACGGCTCTTTGTTGTATTGTTAATGCTTCCTGTGGATCACCCATAATATAGCTTAATCGGGCCAACATTCTCAAACATTGAGCGTTCTCCGGATGCATAGCACCAAAAACATTATTCAACAAATTTAAAGCTTCAGTAATAAGTTCATATCCTTCGTTAAAATAACCTTGTTGAATTTTTGTTTGACCAGTAGTATAAAAATTATATGCATCTGAAGCTCTTGGGTTAACATGTTTTACAATCGGAAACACATTTAAAATATCTTCATCACTAAAGGTTGGCTTATTCCGCGAGTCAAAGTTGTATTCGCGTAAATAAATCTGAATTCCAACTTTTAAACAAAAGCCACGAAGCATGCTTATACGCTGTAACTTAAAATTTTCACAAACTTGTTCAATACTATCACAACCTAAATCATAATCCCAATATGATTTTATTTCTTTCTTTATGTGTTGCCATAAAGATCTTTGGGTAATTCCTGCCCACTCATTATTATCACTACCAAATAAAGTAGTTCGGTTTCCTGGTTTGCGTTTGTTACGGCGTTTATTTGTTTTTATTAGCTCATCAGAACCTAAGGCTGGCAAAACTACTAAACCAGAAGTAAGAAAACAATTTAGAAAATGTGAGATGGCGGCTGACAAACTCATCATTTCGGTGTTTTGCATATAATTATAATAAATGTGTTTTGTTGCCCGAATAATTAGCTCTTGCACAGCAATTTGATACAAATACTCTAATTTAGGAACCTTGGCTAATATCTGAATAACTTTTCCTAAATATCTTATATTAATTCCACGATTATGTAATGCTTCAGTTAGAGTAACACCGTCCATAGGAGCTGATGAATGATCAGTATGTTCTTGCACAAAACTAGGAATTTGTTTAAGAACTAGAAACTCTGCAGCATCTTTAACTAATTGTTTTTGTTTTTTTAAAGAACATGTACTGTCGGATTTGTCAACATGTTTAATGCCAGGAGAAAAAACATCTGGATTAAATCTAAAGTCAAACTCATATTCTTTTAAAGACTGAACCGCAGCGCAGGCTCGTTTAACTACATCAGCTGCTTGTTTTTCATCAGTAATACCTTTCTCTGTCAAAGTGTCAGTCAATTTTTTAACTTCAGCTTCTTTTCCTTTTGGAATTCCGTCTATTTCCTCTGATTTTTCGATCTTCTTGTCTATAGCTCCAGTTGCTATGTTTTGATTTTCACTGGTGTTGGATTTTTGATCTATCACTTTCTGTGTTTCATCATCTTTTTCAATGACGTTGTTATTTTCCAGTAGCTTACTTTCCTTTTTCCCTCCGCTTTCATGTTCTTCGGTCTCTGGTTTTTTTGTTGTACTAATTTTTTGTAAATGATGTGCCGCATATTTGATGAATTGCACATAACGGTCTTCAACAAAAGCTTCCAATAACTCCTGCCTTAGACAACATAACTTATGTTTATGTTCGATAGGAAATCCAGCAGCTTGTAATTCCGCACTTAGTTTTTCATCAGAAAGTCTTAAAAAGTTGACATCAGGTGGGAACGTTCTTAGCAAATCCAATATATAATGACGTCCATCATTCCCAATTATTCCTTTGCATTCAACTGAGGAGCAAAGTTCAACTTCTTCATCTTTATCATTCAAAACAGAATGAGGTAGTATTTTGAGGTGTTGACCAGCCTGGGTTAAAAGTTCTAAATATTTAGGATGAGTTAAAACGGTTTTTCCAAAGTCTATCGATCCATATACTACAGATTGTTCTTGTTCCCTTTCCAAAATACCAGGAATAATTGACTGAGCTGTAACCTTAAAAATAAATCATTATACTTAACAAACAGTTAAAATTATACTTCAAATTGTTTACCCTATATCCACGATAATCTATTACAACTGTTCCTAATGTGTAAAGTCCTTCCAAATCTACAGCACTGTAGACTCTAACTCCCTGTAAATCATTACGCGGAGCAACAAAGGCCGCATAGTCTCCTCCAAACTCTTTGTAATGATCTCTAACATCAAATCCCAAAGAAAAAAATATATTATTCCATATAAACATTTGCATTTTAGCATCTTCTCCAGGATTAATAGCTAAAACATTGCCATCTATTACAGCCATAGCACCTCGAGTAGCCGCAATTACAAAATCTCCGTGAACCTTAAAAATAGCTCGTTCTCTCAATAAACGGTCAGGAAGGGTTTTGCGAGGTAATTCACGTGTTGTTTGCAATTCCTCATTCCAATCTCTCGTTTGACCGGGAATATGCTCCTCATATCCCAATTTAGATGAAAACGCATCTTCTGCACGTATAGCATCAATTGTATGCTCCAAATAAGGCGAACACCAAGTATAAACTTGATAAGGAGTTGCAACTCTTTCAAAAGCATGTCGCATTGTACGCTTTTTTTGCATTTGTGCAAATGTTCGTTTGAAATGTGGAGATATTTGTGAAAGTAAATCAATCAAAGAATGACATAAGTGGCTTGGATTGTCAGGTTTTGGATTGAAAATTTCATCTGTCGATTGATTAATGAAAAAACCTTTTGGACATGCTGATATATGAAAACGTTTATCTTCCATTGTTACGACATATAAATACATTAGATCCCCATGAAGCTTTCGTGGACCAGGTGGAGGATTCCACGCAGATGTTGTTAACACTTTTAATGCTTGTGGTCCTTTAGAATTTTTGGCGCCTGGCTGAAGTGGCAAAATCGGACGATCTTTTGATCCGGGTAAAATATATTCGGGTGGAGAACATTCTATATTATCCGGTCTCGATTTTTTCTTTTCGGATAAATCCCCTTGAGTAATAGCCGTTAAAAAAGTAAGCGAACTACAATCCACCCCATTGTACGCGTCACAAGAGTCCATAGACTTTAATAAATCCCGTACATGCCGTACATGAATTCTAGCCTCACGCATAGTATAAGGTTCTTCAACCACTTTAATTACAGATCCACTTTTAAGGCCTTCAACATTTTTTAATTCAGCAAAATTATCCAAAGTTACTCCATCTAACTGCAAAGAAAAACATGTGCGATGACAAGTATCTTCACGGTCCATCAAAAGTTGATTAATTTCCTGAACTAATTCCATGCTGGAAACCTGAATTGAGAGTAGTTCAGCTCCGGGACTTTGTATATGTACAGTAATCCCAGGATCCTGATAAATTTCTAAAGGATCCGATGCATTATCTTCAATTTTATTTTCTTTAATTTCTGATTCGGATTTCTTATCGTCACTACTTTCGTTACCGTTAATTTCTTTTATATCTGATCCATCACTTATTTCATTTTTTTCATCAATTACCTTTCCATCTAAAAGAAAAAAATTTAGTTATAAGTATTTATAGATAGGTAAAAAATACAAAATTAACAATTTTAATTACACGTGAAGATTTCAAATATATCAAGCCATAAATTATTTTCGCCAAGGAATTTAGAATTTTCATCAATTTAAAAATTGTTTTAACATAGTAAGAACGGATATTGTATGTGTATGTCTTATATTGGGATAGCTCAATTATTTTTAAATGCATTTTACGCATTTTCAATTTTGATAATAGATTACCATTTAAATTATAACGATATTTCACATAATACATATAAAATAAGGTGGTAAGACGTATCAACTTAACATATTTTATATTTTATTATAAAATTTTCGTTAGTAAAATTTATGTAAATTTTTTTATTTAATATGTATGTATATATTTTAACTTTTAGAAAATTTAAAACAGAATGGTCCAGGAAGTTTTCATAATAAAAAGTAATTATTAAAATTTCAAAAAAAAATTACAATTAGGCAGTGATAGTATCTTTGATAAATTTATGTAACTTATTGTTGACAGGTCTGTCTGGCATAAAACTTGAAAATGGAAATTTAAAAAAGAAAACCGTCACGGAAAAGTTGAGAAAATTCAATTTTCAAATGTAATAAGCGTCAAATTTCCAAACATTTATCCAACATAAACAGTATATGGATAAAAAATAACATAATATGTTCAGGAAAAAGAAAAAAAAACATAATATCTTAAAATTTAAACATATTACGTTTTGACAGCTTTAATGATTCTAAAGTTTTTAAAACACTAAATTTTATTTTGCAAAACTTGAAAAAATTTTAAACATTGAGAAAACATGACGTCGTCATTTTCTCTCAATTTTATTTTGAATACTACAGCAAACGCTTTGCAAACTAAAACTTAATAAAGTTTTTAAAAAATTTCTTATACCAGACAGACCTAATAAAGCAAGGTATCATTGATAACTATATTTATACCCAGCTACTTTAGCAAATAAATTTTTAAAATGTAGTATAAAAGATATTTGCTTTTTAAAACCAATAGGAATGCTATCATCTACCAAAACGTATTCCACAAAATCATATGTAGATAAACAGGTATTACTGCCACAGTATTAAAAGTTCAATAATGTGTGATGTTTAATTTAATTTGTCCACAATTATGCCGATGCGCGGTTATTTGCAAATGAATCCAATTGTAATCAAACTTACATAGGTACCTATGCAAATTATTCATTTGTCCCTTATATTTAACTCTCACTTATTAAGCCAAATTATATGCGAATTTTACTTAGTTAAATTATATGTATTCAACACTATCATTCCTACATATTTCAAAGAAAGAACTATTTATAAATATATGTATGCAATTGATAAATATATGCATATGTATGTAGGTTATGTAGGTAACTTTATAGCAATTGCAAATACCTACTTAATTATGTACCTGCACATTTACAAATGAGCACGTGAATAAGTTTTAGTAAAGGTAAGTGCCTTAAAATGATATTACTAATCAAAATTGCTTCCGCAGTTTATTCCAAATTGTCTGTTTTAAGTGCGCATACTCTTACATATACCCTAAATATACTGGTACTTAAAGTAGCAAGGTAAATTATATATGTACATATATGTATGTGCACATATATTCTCATAAGAAATTAAGTTCATTATTTTGCAAATGATTAATTAGGAAAATTTTGCAATTTTTACACTAGTGTATCTTTAAAACGAAAATGTAAAAAACACATTACACAATAGCACTTTTGTCAAAGCATTATCTACAATATGCAATTTTGGCAACTTAAAATGTACATATAAAGCAACTTCAAAGCACGTGCTACTTTTCAGTAAACTATAATTTTTTAATTAATTTCTTTATTGACGTTCCCAGAAAATGTAAAAAACCTTATAACTAAATAAATACATAGTATTGCATTTGAAAAGGAAAATTTTTGACTGCTATTGCACACACAGAATTAAAGACCACATGGAATAGAATGAGACCTCATAATTCTTCTCCTACAGAGTAACAAGCATGTTAATTTCAGCTGAATAAAATATGTACTCAAAAATAAGAAAAAAAAATTGTTACGTAACATTATTATATGAACTATTATATTAAATAATACGATATTATTTACCCTGCAACACTTCAATTTTTGTAAAATTCTTTGTACTTTATCAATATAATAAATTAAATATATAAACCTTTTCTGTTGCAGTTAGTATCTTCAGTACCACCTTTATTTTTGGCTGAAAGTTTTTCTTCAGACTCTAATGCCATTATTTTAGATCACAAACAACTTTCACCTTTATTTACAAAACACTTTTAAATAAAGCAGGTCTGTTTATTGTATTTAGTTTAAATTCAAAGAATTGATTCAACTAAGATTTATAAACCAATATTTATTTTGCAAAATCTTCTTTTAAAATAAAACAGCACCTCCACCCTCGTATACCGCTGAGAGTTTTATTAGCGACTGAATGAAAGAGTGTTTTTGTTGTAAAAGATGAAATTTTGTCAGGGATGTTCCTCATATACTGACAAGATTATAATCATTCTTACCTCACTCACTAAGGTGCATTTCCACTCAAAGTCCAGACATACGGAAAGTAGTACTTGTTCCAGTGTTGTTGATTTCAACTTATCTTCAGTAGTATTTTGTCTCAAAAAGAGAAGTATGGAGAGCTTAAGGGTAGTAATTTGCGGTTATCATCAACACCAAATAAAAAGTAAGGCGCTTAGTAGGAAGCACTTGTGCAAAAATTGTTTTATACCCGTACATTTTAAATCAGATTACCTAAATCAGCTACGCGCCTAGGCAACGTATTGATATTTTTTTTCGATTGTCAATTTTTATAACAATATTATATAAAGCGCGAGCACAAAAATTAACAATATAAACTTTTTTTGGGAAATAATTTTGAAAAAATTTAATTTTTTTTGTTGTACAAATTGTTTTTTGTAAAAAATACGAATGAACTTTTCAAAAACAAAAACAAATAATCACATTTTCTAGTATACTCAAAAAGTACTAAAAATGGCTTAGCAGTAGTACGATAGTATGGAATGCTAAAATGTAGTAAAATACTACAATTGTAGTAAAATTAACAACACTGACTAGTACACAAATCAGAAGTGCAAGTAGAAATATAGATTATTCTACTTTCAAATAATTGACTTAGTCAATTTTGTTTTATTAAACAAAAAGTGTTGACTATATATGGAATATATATACGAATGTATAAACAACTTCAGTCAAAATTTATTTTTTTTTAACCAATTTTAAATTAAATTAAATTAACTCAAAAATGATTTTATGAATGAGCATTATATTTATATTTATGCTGGTAAAATTAAAATTGATTGGTTAAAAATTTGCCCGGAAGTTCGAATAAGCAGTGGAAATCCTGCTCAAGGAAAAATATATGACAAAGCCTTGCATCTGTTGGGTTACCGCAAATTGTGCAATAAAAATTATTTTTGGTTAAAGATTATATCATATAGAGCATAGAAGAGCCCTGTGTTTTGGTGAAGATTTAATAAAAATAAGCAAGACAAAATTGGAAGTTGAAAGTTCAAAAGATGACAATTCAATAGGAGCATACTCTCAAAGCATACTGTTTGTAAAAAAAATAAATGAGTTCTCATCAAAAGTAGTTCGATAAAGTATTTTACTGTGTTGCCTGAATTCAACTTTGCAATAATTATACATTTTCTAGAAATATGATCCACATATTGTAAATGTACATATATTAAATATAATATTCTATGTGGTAACTACTAACTACCATATATTATGTTCTTCATGTTGCGTTTCAAAACTAAAAACTCGTACAAAAATTTATTTTTCTTTTTCAGGTTTCAACTTTATAAAAAACGTCAAAGTAAAGAAGATAGTTTCATTTTATTTAGATTTTACTTAAACAATATGTAATTTTATTTAAATTAAGTTTTACTTCATTGCTTTTTAACAGAACTAAAGTTTTTTTAATTATGTATGTAGTTGTTTAAAAGTTTGGTCAGGTTATCGCTAAAGTCCCATCACAATGGCAAATTATCAATTTAGTGCGAAATGTCTTCCCATCTATCGTACATCGTAATTGAAATTTGACAATAAAGTTAACACTAAAAGTGACACTCCATAGCCATGCCAGTTGCTCACATGTTTAAATTGAAATTAAGCTAGTGGTTTTTGCAAATTATGGTAAATATTTACTAATTTTTTGAAAAAGCAATGACTTGATATTTAGCTTAATTATTTAATATATGTTGTTTAAATATAATGCGTTCTTAAATATAATTAATGAAAATTTAAATTTTTAAGGGGAATCTAAATAAAGAATTAGAAAAATGTAAACATCCTAACGCAAGAAAAACATTGGCTTTAGCCAAAAAAGCGAAAAAAGTCAACAACAGAAATAAAAACAAACTTGCTAATGTTATCAAAACATCTATTATAGGCGAAAAACTAGGTAGTTAGATCTTTTGTTCAAAAGAGAATCTCACAATTCTACTTTGATTAATTTTTGTTGATTGCAGGATGGTTTTCACAACATATAGAAGACAAAGTAGACCCATTAACACCAGAAGAATTTAAAAACTTAATTGATAAGTATTTCCACAGATTTGACGAAGAAATTGAGCAAATTAATTTGAAACAATCAATAAGTAAAAATAGACGAAATCAACATATAGCTAGGCAAAATGCTATAAAATTTACTTTAGAAAGGGAACAAAATGAATACAATAGCGGTGGAATAGGTAAGAATCTAGGGTTTGCTAACTTAAATCGCGTAAAATTGTTTGATTTGTGGAAATTAGTTTTCTATTCAAAACTTCACATAACAATGGCGGATTTTTGGTTTAAAAAAAGATGTACATATATATATTTATAAAAAAAAATTAAAATATATGGATTTATAATAAACGATATAAAAATATTTTAGATTTGATTAATCTATGCGATTCTGAAAAATTCAAAATTCTAAAAGAATGGGATGGAAGCGCTATAAATATACAACATATGAAATTGGATTTAATATCAAAAAAATTTTTTGAAAAATTAACTAAAAATCAAATAGAAAAACCCAAAATCGTAATAACACCACCAGATGAAGAAGGTAAATCAATGGAGTTTTGAAACTGAACGTGTAATATTTAAATTAAAGGAGATTTAACAGGCAAAAGCCAGTTAAAACGTAAAAAGAAAATAGTTTTCACTATGCTTTTATTTAATTTTTTTTTTTTCGAAAATCATAAGGGTGCATCTAAAATTTGCCTCAATTTTTGGTTACAAGGAAAAATATTAATGATATCAAAATATAAGTCGGTAGGTACTATCAACATGCATAAAAAAAATGTTACAAAAATAAAAATTTTATTAAAAATCCGTAATACATGTTTTTGTGAAATAGATTTTTAAAACATTTGAAAACATTTTTCAAATTATACCTATGTGAATACAATAACACAACTAAAATTAAGTAAAGAGTTTTTTACCAGAATTTTAAAGTAACTTTTATTGAGTTTGTGGAACAGAAAATTCATTCATTCAGGATTAGTATGTATATATTTTCAGTAATCAATGAATCATTCAGAAGCTTTTTTTCTCAATTCTCTATTATCTTTATATCACATAACCCATTGATGCCAATTTAGCATATTTCGGTGCATTTCTAGCATGGTCCAACCTCAAAATGCACCCTAAAAATGTAATTTGCACTACAGTACAATTTGACTATCTTTATAATTTAGAGAGATTAGCATTGTCAGAGTCGTAACAGGAGCGTTTTTATTTTACTTTCTTCTCTGGCCTCTACTATAAAATATGTGTAATTTGTAAGAAGGATAAAATTTTTTTTCAAAGTAAAAACTAAAAATTATTTAAATATTCATAAAATCATATTTTTTGTTCTCTTTGAATAAATTTATTTTATAAATTGCAAATATTTATAATTATTTTAATATCACAATATTTTATGACCCTCGAAAATGAAGATATTGTGTTAAAAAATTTATATTACGAGTTTTGTTTGATAATTCTACCGAACAACTCTAAACAATGTTAATAACAATAAATATAAATACATATAAATCTTAATGATTCTAAAAGAGTATTATTTTTAACAAATTTTGATTAATATGATGGTTATTACTCACTGAAGTAGATGGTATGTTGTCGTTTTCTTATTTATTCATTAATTAAACTTCACACACTAATTCATTCTAAAACAAAATATTTTAGAATATATGAAAATAATTCACGCTATCTTATATGACTTATTGAATTCAACAACATCGGGACGTCTTCATTTATTTATATCTCATTTCATCACTTCTAGGAAAACTGTAATTATACAAAAAAAAACCATTTACAATATTTGTTTGTAATAAAATGTAGCATTATCAAACACAAACTCATTTTGCTTAAAAAAATCGGTCCTGGTAAAATGATCATCCGAAGTAATTCTAATTTAAAACAAAACAAAAACTTATGTTTTCTTTGCAAAATTAAAAACTTAATGAAATTAGAAATTATGAATTAATCAAAGTACAATATAATAAATATTTCTTTTAATTATTGAAGTGAATAATACTTGCATGTATATGGTGTAAAAAACTATTTGTTTTTGCAAAGAAAACAAAACTATACAGGTTTTTCTTTTTTTCACTTGCTATAATTTTTTTTAAGAAGTTTTAATAAAATAATATTCTTTTTTTAACACTTATTAAATATTTAAAGATTTTTATTTATAAACTGCATTAATTTTATAAATAAAAAAAACAAATTCTTTTTTTACTTTTTATATGGCGACGCATAATTTTCTAGAAAAAAAAAAACAACAAAATTTGGCATTTAATGTTAATTTCAGTTTGACAATCCTCGGAGCAAAGAAAGAGACTTACTCGAAGTTTTTGGCTTCACTATGTTTTTTTTCACAATACGATTTTGTAGAAAGTGGAAGTGAGACAGAAACAAAGTTGCTCCTTTTTTTAGTATATCTAATTTGTTGCTTGTTACGACTTTGACAATGCTCGGAGCAAAATAAGAGACAACCAGATAAAATTCAGCTTTTTTGTTTTTTCAAAATAACAATCCGTTTGTAACAAGAGCGTATTTATTTTAAAAGTAGTTCGTACCGTTACAAACCATTAGTTTTCGTTTATTTGACACTTCATAATATTTCATTTTATTAAGAAATAGATGCTAATAAGAGTTGTGTAGGCAAGAAAGAAACAAAATATTGTCAACAAACGAGTGTATCAAAAATAGTGAAATGAAATAAAATTACGTTAAGTTAGGTAGAAATTTCGTTATTTTTATTTAATAATTTATTTTTCATAATATATTATTTTTTATTTTATAAAAGTTGAAAAGATAAAACCAGTCGAACGTGTAATGGAAATAGATTTTAAATGGAATGAGTTTATAGAATGGAATGAGTTTAAAATTTCATGTATTGTTATGTTTGTATGTACATGTTCATGTACTCGTAAATACACAGAATGTATTAAGTAATGATCTAAAAATAAAGCAATTTATAAAGAAAAAAATGTGCATACATATTGATTCATACTTTATGAAATATACTACTAAAACAATATACTACTTGTGTGTGTATTGTCATAGGAAATATGTATTTTAATTTTATAGAGAAAAGATTGAAATAAAAATTCATAATTTAAATTTCTTCCATTTATCGACAATTATTAATTACAAATTTAACATTTTTTTAATATTATTCATCTTTTTATTTATAATTTTTTAAAATTACATATATTATATAAGTAAATTATATTTATTTTTTTTATTGTAACACCCAATTTTTTTTAAATCCCTTTGATTTTATAACGTGGATTTTTGCCACCTTGTACTGAAATAAATTACAGAAATGATTTTGTGGGCCTTTAAAATGCTCAATATTTTTTCATTATAATTTATATTCGAAAATAATATTTTTGTGTGGCGTTTATATATTATAAAACGAGAAAAAATAGAGAGCAAATAAATATGTCATAGCTGACTATGGGGCAGACTATAACTTTAAGTTACCATACTACTATATTAATTTTTGCAAAATTTCAGTACGGGGTTGAAATTGTGTGGCGGCTACCAGAAAGAGCCAAGCAATTTCAACGACTTTCATTAAACACGTTGGCCCTATTAATGCATGCGCTTCTATAAAATTGCAATATCACAGCTTTTATAGTTTATGAGATATAGCCAAATAACTTTTGAAGTTGTATGGCAGTTACCAGAAGCAGCCAAGTAGTTTCAGCAACTTTTAACATTGACCCTACTAATATATTCGCTTGTGGGAAATTTCAATATCATAGTTTTTATAGTTTCTGAGATATAGCCAAATAACTTTTGAAGTTGTATGGCAGCTACTCGAACAAGTACTCCGATCGCGTCTAATTTAAATAGGGTTCTTGTACTTATTACAATAAATCATTTGTGAAAATTTGATGAACTTAGCTCAATTAGTTTTTGAGTTATTGCTGAGATGGACGGACGGACAGACAAAGCTAAATCGACTCAGAATTCGACGATGATCAAAAAGATATACTTGAGTCTATGTGTAAGGTTATTATTTCTCAGCGTTACAAACGGTAAGGCAAATTTAGTATACCCTTCGAACATACCTTCGTACGGGTATAAAAACAGGTAAACATATATTGCGACCACTTTCGATCTACTAATAATTCTTATATGTATAAAAATGAAAGTAAGAAGGTACACTGCCTAACTCTTTTAACTAAGGGAATTTTTGTACATATATTGGTGAATGATTGCATTAAAGTGATGTAAACGAAAAAACTACTTGTTAAATAAACATGTACTTTGGTTTGATGTGCAAACTCTTTCTAATATTGTTGTAAATAATAACTTAATTTATATTTTTTTTTTGACATTTTATGTCACGTAGTTTTTCATTTGGCAATTGACAAATCTAATTTTGATTGAACTGTTACATTCTTTTTAGAAGGAAATAGTTCAGAATCAAAACATTATAAAAATGTTAAGCGAAGCTCAGAAGCAAATTTGTTTAGAAAAACATAAAAAAGCTATGGATTTGAGAAAGGAGTATCTTAAACAGAGCTCAAATCCATTTCGTCATGGTACAGGGGAAGGTGGTACACTGGTAAGTATAAGTTATGTCATCGTTATTTAGAAAAGAAATATTTGATGTCATAAGTGTATATGAGAATATTTGAGGTATAGTTTTCTGTACTAAAAATTTATCGAATATAGTTTGATGCTGGAGTTGCCCGCTTTCAAGCTATGAAAGTAAACCATTATGAGCACTTCAAACCGACGTATAAATCATTCAAAGTAGGAATGCTCGCTGTATTTTTGCCAATAGCAGTTTACGCCTGGATGATGAAAACTGAACGTGATGGACGCGAAAAGCAGTATAGAACAGGCCAAGTTGCTTATAAAGACCGCCAATTTAAATATATTTAAGTTAAAATACATATTGTCAAAAAGTTAAAATAGAATAAAACGGCTAAAGTAAAGATTACAAAACTTTTAAACTTCTCTTTATTTAAAAAAGTAGTTAATTTTCTGATTGATTCTTTAGCAAAATTAAAAAAAATTGCTGGTAAGAAAAAAATCCTTAAAAACCGAGCCGCATTTCGAAATAATTTTGTTTATGATTAATAAACTAAAAAGAACTAATATTATGTAAAATAAACGCCACAACACTTCTTTCAAACACTTTACTAAATAGCTTTAAAATAAACATGCTTTCGTCGGTTTATTAAGTTATATGTTCTATTTCATAAAATTTATAGTAACAGATTTTCATGTCATAAAGATAAATTTAAATGACACTGCTTTTATTTATCTTCCAATTGTTTATCTCTCGTAATTACATAGTCTTCAAATTTAACCATATAAGTTGTGCCTTTATGCCAGTGTGCCGAAACTTTGCATGGCTAAAAAATAGCAAAAATGAAATTTCCTAACAATTCTTAGAAAAAATTTACAAATCCGCAATGTGTCAGTACAGCTTCAACTATTCCAGCAACAAAGCTAGCGCAATTAAGTGACCCCTTATCTTTCGGTACACTTATAAACGTGTTTACTATAGACTCTTTTTCAATAATGTAGTATGTTCTCTCATCATCATTGGCATGTTCAAGTTTTTCAGCTTCTTTTCCAAACAAATTCTAAAACAATATACAATAACGCTTATATACATATGTAAATATCAATTGCATTAAAGATGTACTTTCCATAAAGTTGTTTTAATGAACAATAGCATTTGTGTTAGTTTTGTTTCTCTTTTAGAATTTCTTTCCCGAACAAAATACAAATCAATAATTCGCGCACCTACATCTTGTCCCATGTCATGCAGCCTGAAATTAGGGGTTATCTGGTGATACTTATAGTTTCCTTAGAAATTTTTATACTTTGTTTGCAGATCTGGAACTGTGTAACTTCTACTTTGACAATATTGAACTATTTCACTGAACAACAAAGCAAATATACCCTGCGAAACTTCGTTTTTACCTCGGCTAAGTGGTTTATCTAAGATATTTGTTCTCGGCCTTAAGGCCGACATCTTGAGAGCCTCCAGTTTGAAAGAATTGTTTTAAATTTTTTATCAATTAATCAATTTAATTTGGTTTCAAAAATTCCTTTCAAACTATGTAATACATATACATATTAATCTACTACATATTTTAAATTTGTGGAAATAAAAAAATCAATCAGCAACCACAAGAATACAAACACGTTACTACATTACATATGTATATGATTGGTAGAGACGTAGAGTACTCGGTTAAAAACACCAGTTGTTATAATAGACGAATTAAACCTAGACTGACGGTGCAAAAAAAATCAGCCCTAAATTAAAAAACAGCTGAGTTGCCATTTTGATATTCTTCTAGAATACTTTAGCGCGAAAAAAAAAGTTATAAAATTTAGTATATGTATTTATGATATGTGTTACGATTAATGAACTAGTATTAATTTTTGGTTTATACAGCGAAAACATTTTTATTTTATTCCGCGCCACTTTATTTTTTTATATTCTTGCGAAAAATTTAAAAAAAATTTGGTGCGGCATCTACGTGCGGCAGCCCTTGCATACCTGTATTGCAAGCACTATAGTTGACAGAGTCGCATACATTTAGTCCGTTTCTGTTCAATAAAATGAATAGAAAAAAAAAACGCAATTTCCAGAAATATTACTTTCATGCAAGAAATATATACTCGTCTCAAGTCAGACAAAAAAAGTGATAGATATAACTTTTTTTCTATTTCGTATTATTTATTGAAGGCGAATATGTAAAAAGTATCGTTTATGTTAAATTTTGACGTTTATATAATAATTTTTTTACAACAAATAATCGAATCAAATGATATTTTTGTCCCATCAAAATTATTCGCGATAGTTATGATTTCAATATAAAGAAGTATACGAGCTGTATACCCCTAATTTTACCGAAAATGAAAAAAGCATAAGAAAACATAATTAGGAATTTATTTTTGTAAATAAATTATTATTATCTGTTTTTAAACATATTTTAAGTAAAAAAAATTCAACAATATAAAACTATTGAATGCCTAGTGAAAATCATGAGAAAAAACCCTCCTCTTCTTTGATAAGTCCATTCTGAAAAAAAAAACGAAGCACTCCACTTAGATTTAATATGGGTAATACAAATGACGAGCGTATTGAAGTTTCTTTTCATATTAATAATATTGAATAGGAATTTAAATACATCCTTCGAGACTCGAAAATATTTAGAGAAATTAAAGAAATTCGTTTTAAAAACAAATGAGTTCAAACAATACTTTTAATGTAAACTTACATGGTTGTTGGCAAATCCAATGGATTCGAGCTATCTCGAATACATTTTTGGTTGATTCTGTTTGAGTTATCCTCTTCATCCGCATTTGAAACTAACATGTAAGACAAAAACAAAGACACTTTCGCGAAAATAAATAAAATATTTTCTTTTATTTTATGTACGTATTTAACTTTATTTTTATGTTAACCTAAAAAACATCTAGTGGAAAAAAAATATTAACAGAATTTTGTAAATGCTGCCAGTGTAACATTATTATCGTATCACTAGTCTAATATAATAGAAAATTTATGCAGATGTGATGCGATCATATTTTTTGATGTGGTGATGTTGAGTCTGACATAATACGGGTAATAATATCTTTCAAAATTCTTACGACCTTTTTCAAAATAAAGCGTTTTTCATACAAAATAACTATCAAAATTTGCTTTTCCTTAATAACTTTTCCATTCTCTCATTTTTTACACCCGTACGAACGTATGTTCGAAGGGTATACTACATTTGCCTTACCGTTTGTAATGCTAAGAAATAATGGTCTGAGCTATGGACTCAAGTACATATATATGTATTTCTGATCAGCGTCGAATTCTTAGTCGATTTAGCTTTGTCTTTCCGTCTGTCCCAAGTATAATTCAAAAACTAATTGAGCTAAGTTCACCACATTTTCAAATGATTTATTATAGGCATTTGCCAGAAACCTATTTAAATTGGTTATGATCGAGGTACTGGCTCGGGTACCTACCATATAACTTTCAAATTTATTTGGCTATACCTCAGAAACTATAAAAGCTGTGATATTGAAATTTAACACAAGCGAATATATTAATTGGGCCAATGAGTTTGATAAAATTCGTTGAGATTGGCTGTTTCTAGTAGCTGGCATACAATTTCAACTTAGTTTGGCAATATCTTAAAAAACACAGTACTGAAATTTTGAAGAAATTGATACGGTAACTTAAAGTTGTAGTCTATCCAGTAGACAGCTGTGACATATTTCCTTGCACATAGGATAACAAATTCGTACGGGTATTACAGAGTTGACACGGTCAACTATTTTTTCACGTTGTGCTTACTATTAACGTCCTTACTATTCGGGTCGCTGTTGGCAATGAAAAATCTATCAATAAACATATAAATGCTGGTGTCCCTCATGGATCAGTTTTGGCTCCTTTGCTTTATAATATTTACACGACTTCCCTTCAGTCACAAATTGTGAATCCTCAATTATAGCAGACCATACTGCAATATTCACATCAGGATTATTGGCCACTGATATTATAAATAATATTCAACGACCAATTGATACTTCAAAAGTTATTTGTCTATATTTTAAAACATGTTCAACGATCTACAAGTTTATGCATATATATATATATATAAATATAGTAGAACACGCTTAAGCGCAACTTGCCTAAGTAAACAACTTTTTAATACCCATGTACCGTATCTAGTTCTCATGAATTAGCTTGAGTAAGCGCAATACTTATAAGTGCACAATTTCATATAAGTGCTTAAAAATTTCATCATAAAAAATTTTTTTATATAAATTTTTATTCGTTTAAGTGCAAATTTGTTTTTTGAGAGATATATTTTTGATACTGCAAAATTGCAATAATTTTTTTTCATAATAGGTGAAACACGTTCTATTTCGCATGTTGCTATAACTGACAAACAGCCGATATACAGCGTTGTCAAAAATAGTAAGTTTTTTTATTTTAATGTAACGGATTTTCAATTAGAATAAATTAAACAAAAATATTAAATATAAACGCTAAAAATTTGAAAGCCTTGAGTATTAGTGAAAAAATAAAACTATTGAAAGAAGTTCAAAGCGAAAAAAATCGAAAAGAAGTAGCAGCGAAATATGGAATTTATATTGGTACCGTATCTTGGATAATTAAATCACAGAATAAATTAACAAAAAAATCATTGAAAAAAAACTGAAACCTTAATAAGAAAAGATTAAAAGAAGGATTCTACGAAAAAAAGAAAATGATCTTAATTTCCCAATTCTATAAAATAAAAAATGTATGTTATTCTAAAAATATTATTCTAGAAATAAAATATCTTTCTTATAATACACTATCTACACTACATATTTTCAATGAATATATGAACAATATTTCAAATTATTTCGAAATTTTCAAAATGTGATTATATTTTAATTTTCTCCATAAGCCTTCGATATGTACTTATTCTTTTTTCATTGGCGCCTCCCAACGGTAAAGTATAACAAAATGAAATATTGGAAAATTAGGTGGTAAATTAATAAAAGGATTTAAAAAGCACATTATTTCAAAAGCACATTAAATCTAATCGAATTTTTTTATTTCTTTCAGAGTGATATCAAATCGAAATTCCAACACTAAAAATGTAAGTATTTTTCTTTACCTATACGTTAAGTTATATATAAATACATTTGATATATTTTTAGTCTACCAAGCTAACCACTGAAGGTAAACGGTTTTGAAATAGAACAGTATGAGTTCATATTTAAAAGATACGAGGTGCAGTATTTTATACTGTGTTAAGATAAAGTAAATTTTATTTTTCAGGAAAACGTTTACTATAATACACTTACATGCAGGACTTTCCACAAGGAAAAATGTTCTGATCGATAGGGGTGGTCGAAGGAACAATTAATAAAATGAAAAATACTATTTTATTTTCCACGACTACCCCAAGATCTATAAGCTATATTAAACATCATATTGTGATATAATAATATTAAAAACAATTTTTTCTTATTTGCAGACGATTACAGATGTGACATTTGGCATTTCACAAAATAGTTTAAAAATGACTCTAAAGGTGGCACTTCAAAAAATATTATTAAAACCATCCTCCCGACATGAAGATCTCGTAAACATAATTCTTATATTTGGAAACAAAGACAAGCCGCTTCAGAGTCATCCGATTTTCGGATTGTAGACGGAACATTCGCCATTGCAGTTTTGCAAATCTCATCTGTTTTGCCAGTTGCATGTGCTGCACCATCTTTTACATGTAGCAGTTTTCGGGCCAAAAAGTTGTGGCAGTTAGAAAAAAAGATAAGAATATTGGTCAAACCCTATGAACCCAAAACTCTAATACAACGCATTTTCCTAACGCTGTCTCCAACGCTGTTTAATTTATCCCTTTTTTCCAAATTCCTATATTGCTTCCAATTCAATTATTGTTCAATTTCACCCTATAAAGGGTTTGCTGTTTTTGAAAACGGTTTGCTGTCTAGTAGTAAGTCAGTTTTAAGCTTGTAAATATATTTAATTGTATAGTACTTAATTTTAAATGTACTCTCTAAACCAAAATCGACTAGAAAACGGGTAGTCATAACTAGATTGAGTCACTAGATTGGAATCACTAGGACTGTAGTTGTAAATCTAGTTAGAAAAAAGTAACTAGATTCTAGTAAAATTTCTTTACTAGAGTTTCTAGTCATATCCTAGTTAGTTTTACTAGATAGTCTAGGTATTATTACTAGGAGAATTTTTTATTAGAATAACTATTGCCTTAGATGTTTATTCTAGTCAAAACAACTTGAAAAACCAGTTCGTCAAACTAGAAAAAACTAGACTTGAGTACTAGAAATTTATCGCTACAACTAGTTGAAGTATTGTGGCATAACTAGAATCTAGCGCGGTATTCAACTAGAATTTACAGCTCTTGCAACTGGGATTCGAGTGAAAGAATGCTAGATGTAGTTAGCTAGTACAACTGGATTTTATTTAGGCATACCTAGTATTTTTACTTTGAAATGTGGTCATTACAGCTGGAAAGTAGTTCCTGAAAAAAAACTGATTTTTAGACAAAAATTTTTACTATTTTAAAATATTTTTTAATACTCAAAAATTTTATTTCTATATTATTTATCTATTTATAAAGATCTGTCCGTAACTTCAAAAATCTTTTTTTTATTTATTCATTTAGGTTCAAGTTTTCAAATCTGTATCAAAATATAAAATGGAAAAAACTTGTTAAAATTTTATCATGAAAATTTGGTGTGAACTTACATTAATTTTTTTTCGTTAAAATTCGCTATCATTGTCTGCTACTAGATTAGCGGTTGTGAAAAATGTTTTTCTCGTTGAATAAACTAGGTAAACAGCTAAACTAACTAGAAAAATATTTGCAACAGATGAAAATCTAGTAACCAATACTTGAAACCTAGCTGCTACGTGTTGATTGTTGTTGTGTATTCATGTTGTTGTTTTAATATTCAGTTTATTTGATGAAAGTAACATTTTTATAAATGTAATTTTACACTAGCAGTTTTTTTTTCACTTGTATGCATAAACTACGTGGTCATCCTCAATACCTGGGAAAACTCGTACCACGTATATTCACTTTTTACACGCTAATGTGTTTATATTCCGACGTATACTTAATTTGACACGCTCGCACTGCACTTAAAAAAAATTAATCATCTGCCATATTTTTGTATGCTTCTAGAAATAAAACCAATGGAAACCGGGATAGTGTTAAGAAATAACATTTTCTACCATATTTTGTTGTATACTGCATTCTTAACATTAGATGCTATTTTTTTATATTATGCTAAAAAATACAAGTTGTTTTCATTACCCATGAAGCATCTCACAAGGCCAATTGTAAATAATTTTAATTTTTTAGCAACTTCAGATATAAAGTTTTTAGACAAAAATTCAAAAATACAAAAGAAAAACTTTTACACTACTTTTAAGTTTTTAAATTTGAAAAATTAAAAGTTGCGACTCTCATTTAAATATGAGTACAGTCGGTTGAGCATCGAAGCAAAGAACGAGAACATATAGTATAATAAATCCTTAGGAATTTAACATTTTTGAAAATTTAAAAAAAAAATGAATAATATTTACATATTTTTTGAATTGATTAATTTTATTAAGTTAGCTTATTCATTGTATGGGTAAATTATTGTAGAAGTCTTCTGCTTTAAAATTCTGCTGAATATGTTAACACATCTTTTATTAAGTTTCCCCCCATTTTGCTTAGATTCCCTTATGTTTTTTAAAAAATTGTGATTTGTTGTTTTAGTTTCTTGTTCCCGACACCAATCTTCCTGAAATTGAAATCGCAATAGAACTCAACTTCTTTGTAGGTACATACGCATATATTCAAAGACATAAAGTCATAGTTAAACAAAAAAAAAAGCAACAAAGCAGGAATTAACCTAAATCTATCGTAAATATGAGTAAAAAATATGAAAAATTAATATAATGTGGTTAAAATAAATATATGTGGCCGCATTGTGTGTTTTCTGAATAAATCTACAACAGTCCCTCGTAATACGTCAGCCCTACATACGTCGTATTGATATACTTCGGCGTGATTTTTGTTCCTCGTTCTTAATATACATACGTTGTTTCAGATTTTATATATGTACGTCGTCGAGAATTTAATTATAAATTTTGACGCATTTTTTCTTTAAATAAAAAATTTTGGTATAATTTCCCTTGAAATAACAAATTTTTAGCATTGCGAATATCATATTTATATTTCAATTTAATTTGTTATTTAGGTTCAACTAGTAATTTTTTTTATATGAAGTAAGGTTAGGTTTTAAAATAAAAAAAAAAATTGAATTTCAATTGTAATAGTTTAATTTTATGTTTTGTTGCATTTGTTACAATGTTGTATGTGTCCAAATAAATACGTATGTACATATTTGCATTCTGTGAACTTAAAGACTACTACATAAAAACAAACATTATAATTAATTACAAAAGTATGAATGTATTAGATGTAAGGATTTTTAAATAAATTTAATTCTTTTGATATACATACGTCATGTTTGGCAGGATTCAAAAACGACGTATATCGAGGGATTGCTGTATTCTTATCTATTCTTATTAGTCGGTTATAGCTAAAGATTGCGGTGCATTTATAATGATATGTTATGTATTTATGAAATTATTTTTTAAGAAAAATAATTGCAAATTAAGCTTTACAATAAACATTACCAATTCGGACTTATTACGCTGAGAATTGTAATATGCATTTACATTATTCGCTGGCGTCATTTTGTAATTGCAGTAGGGCCTTAAGGTTAAAAAGTAAACTATTTCGATCAACGAAAATATACTAAAGCCCATGAACAACCCCAACAAACCTCCAGTATTAGCTTGAATGAAAAAATATGGAATAAAGTTTCAAAAATAATGTGCAATTAGAAATTGAAATAAATTTCATAAAAGAATTGTACTTACAGAGAAATTCTGTAAATCCAATAATTTCATCTTTTGTCATGCTTCGAAAAAAGTTGCTGCCATAAAAGAAATGAACGATTGCTATATCGTTCAAAATTAATTCTTGTTTAGAGATATTACTATATTCCATAAATGTATTTGGGTTAATCTTTACAGAAGAAATTGATGATAAATAAGATAAATCAAAACATGCCGGATAACAATCTTCACATGTGATATTATTATTTGCTTCAGAAATTTTATTTTCTATGTGTCTCGTGCAATCATTATCGACTGGTCCACAAATTTTTATATCTGATGCCAATCTTGGTAAATAATATAAGACACATCCACATTCTCGAGCCATATGTTTAGCAATGCATTCTTGTTCACAATTCTTTCTAGTGTAGGTTTTATAATAAGATAAATTTCCTTCATCGGAAAATAAACAATTTCTAACTTGTTTATTAATGGAACGCACAGCTGGTGAAGCATCAGAATACGTTGGAAGAATATCAACACGTGCTTCAGTACCAGTGTTAATCAAAAATCCGTAATTACTAATTCTTGGTTGCTCAATTGGACTGTGAACTAAAACCTTATGTAAATAAAATAAACTGAGTATAACAAATTGCCAAAGATGTAAACGAAATGAGACAGTATTCGTAAATTATAAAAACTAAACATATAAGTGCGAAATCAGTTTAAAGTGTAAATCCAAACTCAGTATTGAATATGTAGGACAATGAAGACCATTGTAGATTTTTCAAGGGCACCGAGTTGGGCAGTAGTTTCCCCCGGGCCACCGCAGCCATTTGCGACTTATTGTAGCCTTCCCACGCCCCTCCTACAATATCCTCATTCCAAGTATGAAACCAGAGACATCCCTAAGGGAGTTGGAAAGCAGTTCTCGAACGCTTAACAAGCCCTATCCAAAACAATTGCGCCGCCGGACAGCCAGCACCGGGCAGCCGCAAAGTATGTGCACGGCACTTTCATCACCGTCCCTGCAAAATCTGCACTGGGCAGAGCCGGATTTCCCCAGCTTATGCAGGTGATATCAAACCGGGCAATGGCCCGTGAAAAAATTCGCAACAGTGCGAACCCGGCTCCAGCTCATTCCTAACAACTCTACGGCGAACTTTCCCCAGGATGTTGGACGAAACATCTTGGCTGACGGCACCCTTTCGTGTCCCGCCAGTGAAGAGGGAAATGTCAGGAGTTACTCCCTGACCTTTCCCTCTTAGGGGGTAACAATCATTTCGCAGGTCTTCAGCCTTTCCAGCCTTTTCTTTTCGTATTCGCAGGCTTCTTTAGGAAACATACCATCCCTGATGAATGCCGCGATACGTCTTTTGGAGGCACCAGAAAAATTATGTTTCTTTCCTCTGATCGCCAATCTCTTATTTCCTCTTATTTCCGCCGTAGCCGCTATTTCATCTTCCACCGGCGTGAGAAGAAGCTCCTCCCTGGAGCACCGATCATGGCATTACCGGCCACCTCACTCTTGTCCTTGTTGTCCTTGCCGTTTTTATTGTCTTTATTGTCGTTGTTGTAATTGTAATCGTTGTTGATGTTTTTTTCCTTATTCATTGTGGTCCCACGAGTAGCGCGGGAAATATGGTCACTCATGTCAGAGCCCAGCATACCATTAACGACTAAGCCCCCCCTTAGCCACGCAGTCATCAACGCATGTTGTTAGCTGACGTATAGATATCAGGCTGAAGTCCACAAAGCAAGGGATTCGCCGCGAGACATGGCTACGACACGAATGTAACTTTGCTCATTTCAATCACCTTTCTAACCTCCGCCATTAACAGGACTCACCGCTTGGAGGTGACAGTGAGATTTTGAGCCCCAATGAAGATGATAAAAGCAGATCATTTTTTTTAAATTTTATGACGTGACTTTTGTGTGTAATAACTAAAATTTGTTAATCACCTTTTGTTTCATGATCAATAATTTTTTTTTTAATTTAATTGTTGTACAATAGCACAATAGTATAATAATTAAATTATTATCAGTTAAATAACAATCGTATTGATTAACTTGGTTTAAGGGGATGTTAATATAATATTTTATTTTATTCGAAAATATTTGTACCTTAAAACCGAATCCTTTGGTGGAGGAGCAAAAATGCTCTTGAGATGAAGCGTTTAATGTTATAGTTAGACCCATATGCTTTCCTGTTCCGCGGGCTATTCTCGGAACAAATAAAGGTGGTAGTTTATTAGACTCCGGATATCCAGATTCGGGTGTCCAGTTTATGGCAGTAATATTCAAATTATTAACTTCATCAAAACTATCTGAAGTACTACTCTTTAAAGAAAATTATTAATTAACCAAATAATAATAAAAACAGAATTATTTTAAATTTACGTGAAATTTTTAAACATAAATTGCGGATCAACGGAATTAAAATTACAGCACAAACCATCGTCAGTCAATGTCGAATGAAATATATTCTGACATTTTACAGATCTACCCCCAAATGAACAATTAAGGAGCATTTCCTTGCAAGGTTGCGCCATCTGATTTATTTTATTTAAAACAAATTATTATATTGTAAATGATAAGCTCGGATGCATATATACAAGCATGTGTGCATGAATGTATATATACAAATTTACAATAATTAATTAAATACCTCTAGCATAACAGGTCGAAAGTTTTTCCAACTGCCTAAATAATTAGGCAAATAATTTCCAGTATCTTGATTGCACAGGCTCCATAATAAAGTGTAATTATAGGTACCCCTGCAATAAATTATTTATATTTACATTTGGTTTTTTTGCAAATCAATTGTCAGTGATATTGACTATTGTATTAATATTAACAGTAATAATAATAACAATAACAATAATATTAATAATAATAATAATAATAATATTAATAACAATACAGTTTTTTAAAAATTTTTAAAGGTGAATAAAATATAGTACTTTTCTAATTGTGCCACTCGGCTCTTTCTAACACGATTTAAATTGCATATTGTTATTGAAGGAAACGGTATTGAACTGGTGAAGGTTGGTAATGGACTTGTACTTATAATTATTGGGGTTGCTTTCCATTTATTCCACACATTACTAATAAAATAACCAGATACTAACACCACAAAAACAAAGGATATAATAAAAAATATCCTGTAAAACAAGAAAACAATTATAATTTTAAATTAAAACGTACAAAATATAAAAATATTTTGACTTTTTTTTTTCGATTTTCATCTTCGGAATAATATACATATGTATGTATTTGTTTCAAACAAATTTAAATAGAAAAATATTTTTATTTAATTCCAACTAAGCCGTCGATTTGGCCGGTCTAAACAGAATCTATCAATCAGTTGAATACACCTAGCCAACGTCGACAAAATTTACAACAATGCTGATTTACATACATATGTACATATATTTATTCACATATATGTATATTTCTTTGCAAAGCAACTGCGAAGTGTATCCAAAACTACATCTGATGATGATTCAAGCCAACTAAAAGGAAAAAACAACCTTGGCCAGAATTAAATAAGAATTAAATTGTTATGTTTAAATTTGTTCATAATACAAAAATGTATAACACAATTTCATTTTTAACCTTGCTTTCATAAAAAACATTTTTAAGCTTATTAACATTTTAACGTTTTATAAGCAACAAACCTTTCAAAAATACTTAATTCTCCGTTTGCAGTATATTTAAGGCCATGCAAAGACGAATTTATCAAAAAATCTTGTGTATTTTGTTTTAAATTTCTTAAAAAATGCTTGAACTCCATTTTAAAACCATTGTTATTGCTTGTTTTTTCATCAGCATTTCCAGTTTTTTTCTCTTTGTTTTTTAAACCGTCTTATTAATTTTATTAAATTTTGATAATTTTATTATATTAAAAAAATTATTAAGTAATACAAATTTTTTGCTATTACCTTCTTCGCGATTAGGAAAATATATGACAGGAGTAGATGGAAATCCTAGAGTCTTTTTATATTTAAGATTTGTATTAAGTAAATTTTTCTGGGAAAGAGCCATAATGTGTTACAATTTTTTTAAAAATTAATAATATTTAATTTTTTCAAATGCGTTGAAATTTATATTGGACACGGATTTAAAATTCCAATTTCATAAAATCTTCAAACTGCTATATACTTATATATTACGTAATATTAGTTCAGCTGCCAAAGATTGTACAATTTTCAGCAAATGCCATTTTTTATACTGATGGAAAGGATTTGAATTTTTTTAAATTAGTGAACCTTTTAACGCAAAATTTCAATATTTATTTTATTATAATGGTAAAATCTATGTTAAACACGGAAAAAATGCAAATAAATAAAAAGTTATTCCCCATTTCATTCACTAATATGTATTCATCAATGTGTAAGAAGTATATTATGTAATTACTTTTTACATACATAAGTACAAAAATTTTCGCAAATATTTGCTAACATACTGATACAAATCTTAAAATATAGAGTTGGTATAAGGGTCAAATTTAATAATAGGTTTGAAATTTTTAAAATTGATGTGCATATTGATTACTGTTTACTAATATTAATGTTTGATGTAGCAAAAGAATTTAATTGAAAGTTACTTACCATAATGAAAATATTAAAAACATGTAAAAAACAAATAAATCAAAAAATGAGGGGTCAAAGGAGTCGTTTCAAAATCAATAATACTTTTAAAGTAGAACCGGTAGAACCATAGAATGAGTTCTAACAAGGCCTTTAAAATTGAGTTTTTTAAAAGCGTTAATTATAAAATATTTAAAATAGAATAAACATGTTGAATTGATTTTAACGCTCATAAATCCATCTTTTTAAAGATTTTTTAGAACATTAATCCCAAAGCCTTATTGATTTTTAATGCGTTTCAAGAAAATAGTTATTTAAAATTGTTTAATAGTGATTGTTAACCTTGTTGTGTTAATCGATTTTTATATAATGTTATATAAACAGTAACATATGTATATTTTTTAGTCTTTATATAACCAAAGTTGGAAAAAATGCGATTAGTCGAAGATATTTCTAAAATGATTTTAAAAATTTTTTGTCTTGTCTTTACCTTTTTTAGATGAAGATAAAAAGTAAAATTCAAAAATGGAAAGGTAAATGTACATTTACAAAATTGTAAATGCATTTGTGTTCCGTAACTTTTTATTCATGTGCCCATACACAGGCATCTTTATATAAGACTTGACAATTTACTAATCCATACATACCGTGTATTGAAAATTGATCATCGTATATTTTGTTAAGAAATATATTTTATATTAGGCATTTTCGAATAAATTAGAAATGTTCATTGTGATTTAGAATGTTTGGAAAATAAAATAGGATTATAAATACAAAAAATATGCAGAAATTATTTTATTTACATAAAAGAATAAAATTTTTAATCAATTTTTCTTAAAACTAGTAATATTTCACGAGAAAATCTATAAATTTTATCACATAAATGTACCATTCACCTAAATTACAACAATTTTAATTTTCTTTTATTAAATTACATACTTTTTTAAATCTATTCCTAAAATCTTAACAATAGTAGGTAATTGATTCAATTATATTTACCACAGGCAACAGAACAAATCTCTTACAAATTAAAAATACTTCATTTACGTTCTTCTTTTCTCGTAGGCTATTGCTCCTGCACCCTTCGACGCAACACTTTCAGGCATTTCTATTTATATGAAGGTAATCAAATATAATATTATATTTTATTTAAATATGATTACAATTAAAATTTTAAAAAGCACACCACATCTTACTAATTTATTAAGTGATTTTTCTTTTTAAATTAATTTTAGTATTATTGTTCTAAAATTCCACCTTTGTTTCATACCAAATATTAGAAACAGAAGAAAAAATTTATTTATATAAATTATAAATCTTATAACACAAAAAATTAATATTATTCATTAAATTTAAATCAAAATCAAATTTTAACCATAAATTATTTTACCGTTCAGCGACACTGTCTTCCCGTATGAAATTATATATATGGACTAAAGAATGCTATAGTCTAATTTTTTGTAAAACCTTATTCATACAAATACAAAAATATTAACATGTCTTGTACATTATAGGAGTTTATGGCCCATACATGCGACTGTATGATCACATGCAATTAAGCAAACAAACAGTTTGTAATTTCTTACAAACTGATTGCAATTTTTAGTTAAAGTAATTGATTTGCTTTGACGCAATAGTATAGTTGCTTGGATATACGCGAAATAATTTTACAATCAAGCGTAGTAATAACATAGATTTATTTTTAATTTTCGTTTTCAAGTTCATTTAAGGAACGCATCCTGGATGTAAATTTAGGTGCTTTTCGATTTATGTACCATTTAAGCACTACATGACGTAATAAATTTGTTTACAATTATGTGTATAACAACCGCTTCAAGAATAACAACAACATAATATTATGTTATGAAAATTTCCGAGGGTACACATTTGGAGAAAGGGGATTTGGTTTAAACTCATTTAAAAAAAAAATATTTCAATACAAAAAGTTTTATTTGAATCAATTTGAATGTAATTTTCATTTGCCTAGACATTTGACATAGATTAGTGAATAAAACATATACATATGTATAACAACGTTGAATATTAATATAGCATTATGAAATTAAAAAGAAAATGTTATTAAATATTATGGTTGATAAACAAAATACTATCAGCGATAGAGTTTATTTTTTGCATTATTACATACATAAGTATTCCCAACTATACTATATGTACATATGTATACGATTTCATTTTATATTAAATAATAGTTTTGTAAGAAATAAAAGTTATACGATTTTAACTTTGAATATCATGGAAATGGGCACAATTTGCGAGTCAATCACAATTTACAAATTAACAAACTTGTTTTGGTTGATAATTCTATCTCAACATAAATAAAATATAAGTTGATATTACGTGCTTATATGTAGTGCACTATAAGTAGTGCGACTATACACAGTCTCGCGTTCGGTGCGCTGCAAACATAGGATTAAAATATTGCTTAAAAATATTTTTTGAAAGAGATGAACTTATAGTTCATCTTAGTTCTTTTATAACTGAGAATAGCTATAAACAGGTGAATTATATTCTTTTAGGAATAAAAACCATATTGAATTCAATAATATTCCATTTTATTATAATTTCAATAGTAGCAAATTCCTGAATTACATTTTATTATACATATACTATGTATACACAATTAACTTCTTTATCAATTAAAAATCATGATTAGGTTGTAAAAAAAATAATTAATTAAATTATATATACTGTTAATTAACACTATTAAGTTATACTACTAATTAAAACTAATGTAATTACGGATTATATTAAGTAATTAAATTTTTTTGTCTATTCATTAGAATCTACAGTTTAAATTTAACAAATTGTCCAGTATAAAAATATGTTACAAATTATTAGACAATCCTAATTTACAAATAGTAGTTCGTCAGGATTCGGTTTATGTGATTTAAAAAAATCGTAATAAATATTATAAAAATAAATTACTTACATATATATACTCATCATAAGTTTAAACTAATACAGCATATGTATACATTCATTATAAGTAATACTGAAATTTTTTTTTAACTTGTTTGTATTATAAATTTATAAAAGAGAATTATATAAAATAAAGTGTATATTACAAATTCATCATGATCAAGTTTTTCAACCATTCTTTGCAAAATGTGTAATAAAATATTATTGGTGCTAACAATTTTGATTACATCTATTTTAGCAATATGTACGGCAGAATTTTTTTTTGAAAGTGTAAAGAAAAAATTTCCAAATCTAAAAAATTTATCAACAGCTGCAATATTTTCCAATACATGGTTCAGTTCACCAGAAGAACATGAAATTTTGTGTGGTATTCATAACAGTAAAAATAAATTTACAACAATATTAATTTCGAAAAGACAAAAATTTGAATTAAGACATTTATTTAAAAAGGATATTTTTGTATTAATTTTTGTAAATATTGAAATTTGTAACACAAATACGGTTGATATTTTCAATAATGCTAATTTAATATTAAATGGAATTCATTCATCTAAAATAATAATATTTTCTAAACCAATTTCAACTTCTTCTTTCAACATAATGTATTATTTGGAAAAATGTTTTAGTATCTTATGGAAATATCAATTTACCGATGTCCAAATTTTAATGTATAAAAAAAATGAATTGAATTTTTACATCGACAAAATTTATACTTATGATCCTTATCCAGAAGTAAATATTAAAAAATATAATTTTTCATATTATAAAAATGAACAAAAATATTCAAAAATTAATTTAAAAAACTATGTAATTAAGAGTCCAATAAAAAATGATATGCCAAGAGCCTTCAAGTACATTGATATTCGAACAAAATCATTGAAAATAAGTGGTATAGCAGCAAATCTTTTAATTGAATTTTGTCGACAAATTAATGTAACGTTTATTGAATTAAATTATAACAATACTTATTCGATTGAAGATAGTTTGGAAATGACTGATATGTTAAATTTAATTAGTAATGGAACTATAGAAATACTAATACATCCTTTTTCAACATTTAAAAAAACTAATGTTACAATATCATATCCATTGTCATTTTTTAAAATATGTTTAATGGTACCGATCGGTCATTCAGTATCAAATTTTATGTACCCTTTGTTACCATTTCAAATTGCTAGCTGGAATTTACTAATATTTACATTTACAATATTGTCAGTATTCGAATATCTTAGATTGAAATTATTTGAAATGAAAAAAAAACATAAAATGGATATGGTTCTAATATTTATCTCTTCAGTTATTGCCATCAATATGCCAAGAAAATTTCTTAAAAATCCATCGAAATATCGAATTTTAATTTTTGTTTTAATATTTATTTTAGGATTTGTTGCAACAAATATATATTTTGCAAAATTATCTAGTTTTTTAACAACTACCTTAACTGAAAAACCTATTAATACAATTCAGGACATGGTTCGAAATAGAATGAAAATTTTATGTTTAAAAAATGAAAGA